AGTATTTTTGAGTAACTCTTTTCCAGGAACCAGAACTCGGCACGTAATGATGGTATCAAAATAAATCAACACGAATTTCAAATTGCAGATAATTCTATTTCCAAAAATGCGCAATTATGCCAAGTTGTTAGATTAAAATCTCCCAAACATTTAAAAAACTTTAATAACATTGCCGTATTTTAAAAGGTCGGTTATGTTCTTTGGTACAACTACTCAATGTATCATATTTTCTAAGTGTGATAAAATATTTCTATAAAGTGTTGAGATTTTGAAAGAGGATCGTCCTACCTTTCCATTGAAGTAAGTTACAAAGATATATCTCAAAAACTACCAGAGATATGGCCAAATGAAGACAAAGGCTGAAATCTATTGACTTTTAAGTATTTTTGAGTAACTCTTTTCCAGGAACCAGAACTCGTTACGTAATGATCGCATCGAAATAAATCAACGATATTTTGAAAGTGTAGATAATTCTCTTTCAAAAACTGTACAATGTTGCCAAGTTGTTAGATTAAAATCTCCAAAACATTTTGAAAAACTTTGGTTACATTGCCATATTTTACAAGATCGATTATGTGCTTTGGTACAACTACTCAATGTATCATATTTTCTGGCTGCGATAAAATATCTCCATGAAGGGTTGAGATTCTGAAAGAAGATCGTAATACCTTTAGAATGAAGTATGTTGCAAGGATATATTTCGAAAACTACCAGAGATATGGCCAAATGAAAACAATGGTTGAAAAGTATCTACTTTTAAGTATTTTTAAGTAACTCTCCTCTAGAAACCACAACTCGCAACGTAATCATCGCATCAAAAAAAGTCCACACGAATTCGAAAGTGTATATAATCCTCTTTCAAAAACTGTACAATGTTGCCAAGTTGTTAGATTAAAATCTCCTAAACATTTTGAAAAACTTTGGTTACATTGCCTTATTTTATAAGGTCGGTTATGTAATTTTGTAGACCTAATCAATGTTTCATATTTTCTTGGCGCTATAAAATATCTCTATGACGGGTTGAGATATTGAAATAAGATCGTATTAACTTTAGAATGAAGTAACTTTCAATGATATATCTTGAAAACTGCCAGAGATATGGCCAAATGAAGACAAAGGCAGAAATCTATAGAATTTTAAGTATTTTTGAGTAACTCACTTCTAGAAATCAGAACTCGAGACCTAATCATCGTATCAAAATAAATCAACACAAATTTGAAAACGTAGATAATTCTCTTGTAAAAACTGTACAATGTTACCAAGTTGTTACATTAAGATCCCCTAAACATTTTGAAAAACTTTGGTAACATTCCCATATTTTACAAGTACCATTATGTGCCTTGGTACACCCACTCAACGTTTCATATTTTCGGGATGCGGTCATATATCTCTATGAAGGGTTGAGGTTTTGAAAGATGATCGCGTTACCTTTAAAATAAAATAAGTTACAAAGATATATCTCTAAAAATACTAGTGATATGGGCAAATGAAGACAAAGGCGAAAATATATCGACTTTATAATATTTTTGAGTAACTCTCTTCCAGAAGCCAGAGCTCGGTACGTAATGATCGCATCGAAATCATTCAACACAAATTTGAAAGTGCAGATAATTCTCTTTCAAAAACTGCACAATTATGCCAAGTTGTTAGATTAAAATCTCCCAAACATTTAAAAAACTTTAATAACATTGCCGTATTTTAAAAGGTCGGTTATGTTCTTTGGTACAACTACTCAATGTATTATATTTTCTGGCTGCGATAAAACATCTCCATGAAGGGTTGATGTTTTGAAAGAAGATCGTGTTACCTTTAAAATGAAGTAATTTACAATGATATATCTCGAAAACTACCAGAGATATGGCCAAATGAAAACAATGGTTGAAAATTATCTACTTTTAAATATTTTTAAGTAACTCTCCTCTAGAAACCACAACTCGCAACATAATCATCGCATCAAAAAAAGTCCACACGAATTTGAAAGAGTAGATAACTCTCTTTCAAAAACTGTACAATGTTGCCAAGTTGTTAGATTAAAATCTTCTAAAGATTTTGAAAAACTTTGGTTGCATTGCCGTATTTTATAAGGTCGATTATGTACTTTTGTAGACCTACTCAATGTTTCATATTTTCTAGGCGCAATAAAATATCTCTATGAAGGATTGAGATTTTGAAAGAGGATCGTCCTACCTTTCCATTGAAGTAAGTTACAAAGATATATCTCGAAAACTAACAAAGATATGGCCCAATGAAGACAAAAGCTGAATTCTAGCGACTTTTTAAGCATTTTTGAGTAACTCTATTCTTGAAAGCAGAACTAGGCATTTAGTGCTCGTATCAAAATGAATCAACACAAATTTAAAAGTGCAGATAATTCCCTTTTGAAAGCTACAAAGTTATATCAATTTGTTAGATTAAAATCTCTTAAACATTTTGAAAAACTTTGGTAACATTGCCGTCTTTTACAAGATCGGCTATGTACTTTGGTACACCTACTTAATGTTTCATATTTCCTAGCTCCGATAAAGTTTCTCTATAAAGTGCTGGGATTTTGAAAGAGGAACTTGTTTTCTTTCAATTGCAGTTAGTTTCAATGATATATCTCGAAAACTACCAGAGATATGACTAAATGAATGGAGATACTGAAAAAAGTCCAATTTTAAGACTTTTTGAGTAATTCTCTTCTAGGGACCATAACATCGGAAGTAATGAACGTATTTAAAAAATTAAACTTGATTTTAAAAGTGTAGATAATTCATTTTCATAAATTGCACAGTATTGTCAAGTATCAATTTAAAAATCTCTCCAAAAATTATGAAATTTAGCTTTGATTAGTCATACTTTACAAGACCACAGATGTGCTTTCATACACCTACTCAAGGTATCAATCTATATATGATTCCTAACAGCTATCGCAATGAAAGTTTCAATTCTTGAAAAAAGGATCAAATTACCCTCATAGAGGTATACATAGTAATGACATGTCTTCAAAACTTTCAAAGATATGGCTAAATATAATGGGATACTGAAAGAATGTTTTCAGGAACCCTTAAAGTCAGAAAACCAGGATTTTTTAATGTTTTTTTTTAGGGACCCCAACATCAGAAAACTTGGACGTTTTATGACCAATAACTTGGTCATAAAACGTGCAATTTTTAAGGAATGTTTAACTATTCCTTAATCGAGGATTTTTTTTCAATATTGTTTATGGAGTCTTCCAGCTTAGTGCTTCAAATTATGTTTTGTTTTTTTCTATATTTTCATGGACTTTCTAAGATTTTAAATACCGGATATATCTCCTAAGGCCCTAAATATCGGATTTATTTTAGACATTTTTTAAAAATTAAAGAATTGAAATAAATATTACATACAACCAAACAACAACCACATGAACCAGTTCTTTGAATGCTGGTCGTGATTTCGTTGTTTTGGTTGTTGAACTTCGCCGCTATTAATTGTCGCCATCATTTGCGGCGTACTAATTTCTCCATCTCATTGCAGTTTTATTGCAATCGCAAAAAGATAAAAAACAAACAAATTTGTCAAAAAACAACTAAAATCTCTTCGAAAAAATGTCTTTGAAGTGCCGATGCATTTGAAAAAAATCACGTTCTGTGGTGGAATAATTCGAAAGATAAAATAAATAACGGAATATTTAATTAAAGCCTATATATCTTCTGGACAGAGCGAAGTTTTGCTCATTTTTACTCGAGAGCGAAATTTGCTCAAGGATTGCTCGAAAAGTGGGAGGTTCTTACAGAGTCTACTCTTCAGGATGGGAAGAAGTGGATGGGGAAGAAAGGAGAAGTGGGGAGAAGAGAGGAGAAATTGAGGTGGGCAGAGTGGTGAAATGGAGGGGGTAAAGGGGAGCAATGGAGGGGGAGAGGGGAAATAAAGGGGTAGGAGGGGAGAATTGGATAAAAGAAATGGGAGAAATGGAAGGGGGAAGAGGAGAGAAATAGGAAGGTGAAGAATGGAAAAGTGGAGGGGGAAGAGAGGAGAAATTGAGGTGGCTCCGCCCAGAAATGGAGGGAAAGAGGGTGAAATAGAGGGGGAACAGGGGAAAATAGAGGGGAAGGAGGGGAAAAATGGATAAAAGAAATGGAATGTGAGGGGGAGAGGGGTAGGAGGGGAAAAATGAATAAAAGAAATGATAGGAGGGGAAAAATGAATAAAAGAAATGGAAGGGGGAAAGAGGAGAGAAATAGGAGGAGAAAGAGGAGAGAAATAGGAGGGGGAAGAATGGAGAAGTGGAGGGGGAAGAGAGGAGAAATTGAGGTGGCTCTGCCCAGAAATGGAGGGGGAAAAGGGTGAAATAGAGGGGGAACAGGGGAAAATAGAGGGGTAGGAGGGGAAAAATGGATAAAAAATGGAAGGGGGAAGAGTAGAGAGATATAAGGGGGAAGAATAGAGAAGTGGGGGGTGAAATGGAGGGGGAGAGGGGATCAATGGAGGGGAAGTGGTGCGAAATTATGGGGAAAGAGGAGAAATAATGGGGGATGAGGGATGAAATGGAGGGGAAGAGGGGTGAAATGCAGGGGAAAGTGATCTTGTGCAGAAAAATACACATACATTGAAATTTTTCAATCAATTCATCAGCCTCGATTTCGGTTGTTATAAATGCCTTCTGCGATGTAAGCAAATCTGCTTTTAGTTGCCCTATATATGCCTCCAACAAAGATATCCTTCTATCCGTTTATTATCTAGCTTTAAATACATCAACGGTATTTGTCATAACAGAAAGTTCGGCAAGAGTGGAATCTGCTTGATTTGGAAAGAATTTTGCACCACTCAAAAACGAGGAAAATATCGCAAATTCGAGTGATTTTCACTCTTTGAAAAAATTCGAGCAAGTTTTTCAGAGGCCTACTTCTCAATAGAATTTTTTTATATGAGATGACGGAGAGCAGACCTTCCTTGAAAAAAAAAAGTAAGGATTTTTTTGTCTAAAAATATTTTTTATTTTTGTATTCAAAATTTTTTTTTTTTTGTTTTTAATATCAATTCAAAGCCTGATCTAGGGATAGAGGAACGGGCGAAGTTGAAACCATGCAATGGATAAAAGCTTCTGCCGTATCGCAACTGAAAAATGAAGAATAAAAAAATTAAAACAAAATATTTTTTTTTTAAATCATTCTCCATACAGTGGACTAGGGTTATAACGAACAAGCGGTTATAAATAATAAACGCCTATTACGAACTTTTGGTTCGAAACGATCTATCTTAGCAAAACCAAATCATTTAGTATTTTACAAATGTCTATAGGTTTTTGTTGTTGTTTTTTTTTTTTTTTTTTTTTTTGACATCGTACTTCGATACTGAAATTTAAAATATTCAAGAAATTAGACCTCGAGTTTGTTATAACCATTTTCAGCCGATTTTATCCATTTCCAAATCTACTTACACACTGCCATACAGTGGTATATGTTTCAAACAATTGCTGGCCAACTTTCGCACCAGTTGAGCCTTCTGGGGATTTCCAATGGCCAAATAATTGCCAATCCTATTGGGAGTGTCTTGCCTGAGGGTTCCATCGATGTTGAACTAAAAAGGGGGGCAGAACTTAAATAATTTTTGTTTTTTTTTTTTTTTTTGTTTTTAAAGGCCACAAGGACCTCTCATATACAAAAGTGGATTTTTTTGAGACAATTTTTAAGGGCTATTTGAGTTTCAAAGGTAAAATTCAAAACGTAAATTAAATTTGAATTTTTGAGAGATATTTTTTTCAAGGATCATCTGAGCTTCAAATGTGATTTTTTTTTGAGAAATATTTTGTAAGGATCGACTCGATCTTGGATTTTTTGAGAAATAATTTTTTACGAAATATCATATTTTCAACCGGCGATTTTCTAAGAAGTATTTCCGTACCTTTTGAGAAATAATTTTTAGAGGCCAAGGATTTTTTGAGAAATATTTTTTCAACTTTCAAACGTGGATTTTTTAAAACATATATATTTTTTTTAGGAGAATCCAATATGGAATTTTTAAACAAAAATTTTTTTAAAAAATATTTTTTAAGGACTTTCTAGGACTTTTTTTTAGGAAAATCCAATGTGGATCTTTAAAAAAATACCGAAAAATCCAAATTGAATTTAAAAAAATATTTTTTGTAAAAAAAATTCAAATTAAATTTTTTAAAAAATATTATTTAGGAAAATCCAACCTGGATTTGTTAAAAAAAATATATTTTTTAGAAAAATCCAATGTGAATTTAAAAAAAATATATATTTTTTTTAGGAAAATCCAACGTGGATTTAAAAAAAAAATATTTTTTAAGAAATATTTATTTAAGGTCTTTGAAACGTGGATTTTTTAAGAAATATTTTTTAAGGAACATTTAACTTCCAAACATGGATTTTTAGGAAATATTTTTTTAAGGACTTTGAAACGTAGATTTTTTAAGAAACATTTTTTTCAGGAACGTCCAACTTCCAAACGTGGATTTTTAAGAAATATTTTTCTAAGGACTTCGAAACGTAGATTTTTTAAAAAATATTTTTCTAAGAAATTTGAAACGTGGATTTTTTTAGAAATATTTTTTTTAATGAACATCCAATATCCAAACGTGGATTTTTAAAAAAATAATTTTCTAAGGACTTTGAAACGTGGATTTTTAAAAAAATAATTTTCTAAGGACTTTGAAACGTGGATTTTTAAAAAAATAATTTTCTAAGGACTTTGAAACGTGGATTTTTTTAGAAATATTTTCTTAAGGACTTTGAAACGTGGATTTTTTAAGAAATATTTTTTTCGGAACTTTGAAGCATGGATTTTTTTAGAAATATATTTTTAATGAACATCCAAACGTGGATTTTTAAAAAAATGTTTTTCTAAGGACTTTGAAACGTAGATTTTTTAAGAAATATTTTTCTAAGAATTTTGAAACGTGGATTTTTGGAGAAATATTTTTTAAGGAACCTCCAATTTTCAACCGGTCTTCTACTGAGAACTATTTCCGTAGGATTAACCAATCTTCAAAGGTGGATCTTTCGAGGAATAATTTTCAAGGATTTTTTGAGAAATATTTTTTTAAGAAATATTCAACTTTCAAAAATCCAACGTGGATTTTTAAAGAATCCGACGTGGATTTTAAAAAAAATATATTTTTTAAGGACTTAGAAACGCAAAATTTTTTAAAATTTAAAAATCCAACGTGGATTTTTTAATTTTGTTTTTTTAGTAAAATCCAACGTGGATTAAAAAAAATTCAGGAAAATCCAAAGTGGATTTTTAAAAAATATATATTTTTTGTAGGAAAATTCAACGTTGATTTCTAGAAAAAAACGTGGATTTTTAAGAAATATTTTTTTAAGGACTTTGAAACGTGGATTTTTAAGAAATATTTTTTTAAGAAACGTCCAACTTCCAAACGTGGATTTTTAAGAAATATTTTTTGAGGAACGTCTAACTTCCAAACGTGGATTTTTAAGAAACATTTTTTTAAGGAACGTCCAACTTCCAAACGTGAATTTTTAAGAAATATTTTTCTAAGGACTTTTATATTTTTTAGGACTTTGAAACATTGATTTTTTAAGAAATATTTTTTAAAGAACATCCAAATTAGAATTGTGGATATTTAAGAAAAAATTTTAAGGACTTTGAAACGTGGATTTTTTTAAGAAATATTTTTAAAGACTTCGAAATGTGGATTTTTTAAGAAATATTTTTTAGAAAACATCCAAATTGCAATTCTGGGTATTTAAAAAAAATTTTCTTAAGGACTTCGAAACGTGGAGTTTTTAGAAAAAAAAAATTCAAGGACTTCGAAACGTGGATTTTTTATGAAATATTTCCCCAGAATCACCTAATTTTCCAATGTGGATCTTTAAAGAAAAAAAATTTTTTTCAAGCAATATTTTTCAAGGATTATACGATTTTCGACCGCGGATTTTTCAAAGAGCATTTTTTAAGCATCATCCAATTTTAAAATTTTTTTTCTATGTTTCCTTAATCTTCGATAATCATCTTCAGGGATCTGTTAAAAAAAATAACAAATTAATATAAACGAATTATAAAAAACTATGCCTTTTTCCGGCTACTTTTTAACTATGTTCTCATAGACGTCAGCACAATTGTCAGTATCAGTCTTATAACACTGTGGGACAAAATTCAATTTTTTAACAATTACGAAAAAAACCCATCAGATTTTGAGAGAAGAGCTTAAAAAAAGAAGACACACGTATCGGCGTTTTGAAAGTTTACATCGTAAAGTAACCTAAATAGAGGGGGCAAGTTCCCTCCTCGTCAACGCTTTTGAAAATTTTCGGATTAAATTTTCCTCGAAATCCGTACATTTTAGGTATATAGGGTCTTTGGCAATATTGCAGATAAAAATACGGGGAATATTTTGCTAGAACATATTAACCCTCAAGCGGGCCAAGAAAGGGGTCTTTTTGGTCCTTTTTTTAAAAATATAGCTAAAAACTCCCTTTAAACGGAATCGTAGAAACTTAAAATATTCCACAAAAATAATTGTCATAAAATTCTACTATGGGTCCTAGAAGGCACCAAAGGTCTAAATCGTATATAAAACACACCAGGAATTCGTATATAAAACACATTTTAGGGTTAAAATCGTACTATGTTTTAGTTTGGGTAAAAATCTGCAATAAGGCATCACTTCTGAAGGATGGCGTCAAAGACAAAAATATTCTCCATCAAATTTTACTATAGATCACCAAAAGAAAGAAATCTCTATTTCCATTGCGTATCAGAAAAATATTTGCATTAATTTTACGAAAAAAATCCAAAAATATTTTCTAATTTTTTGATATTTTCTAATTTTTCCCCGAACTTTTTTCGAGTTGACGCCTGGAAGTGACATAAAATTTCATTTTAGCCAGAAGGTGTTAAAGGAAAGAATATTCTACACTAAATTCTACTATAAATCTCAGAACAGACCATATGTCTAGATACAATAGTATATAAGTAAATTATACTCTAAATATATGCACAAAATGTGAAAATTATGTGTTTGCGTTTTTTTACTGTTAATTTAACACGTTTCCATTCTAAGTCAAAATCTTCCCTTATACTACACTATTTGGGAAACACTTTAAAGGAAGATATTTTCTACATCAACTTTCATTATAAGTCACCGAAGAAAAGAAATGTATATTTCCATTGCATATCAAAAAAATATTTGCATTAGTCTTCCGAAAAAAATACAAAAATGTTTCCTAATTTTTCATCAATTTTCTTTCGGACTTTTTTCGAGTTGACGCCTAAAAGTAACATTAAATTTCATTTTAGCCAGAAGGTGATAAAGAAAGAAATATTCTGCACCAAATTCTACTATAAATCTCAGAATAGACTATTTACCTAGGTGCAATAGTTTCTATGAAATTTATATTCAAAATTTATGCACAAAATGTGAAAGTTATATGCTTGCGTTTTCTACTGTTAATTTAAGCCGTCACCATTCTAAGCCAAAATTTTCCCTAATACTTCACTATTTGGGAAACTTTTTAAAGGAAGAAATATTCTACATCAAATTTCATTATATGTCACCAAAGAAAATATATCTTTCCATTGCTTATCAAAAAAATATTTGCATTAATGTTCCACAAAAAAAAAACCAAAAATATTCCCTTAATTTTTTGATCAATTTTTTCTTGGACTTTTTTTGAATTGACACCTGAAAGTAACATAAAATATTATTTTAGCCAGAAGGTGTTAAAGAAAGAAATATTCTACACCAAATTCTACTATAAATCTCAGAATAGACCATATGTCTAGATACAATAGTTTCTATGAAAATTATATTCAAAATTTATGCACAAAATGTGAAAATTATGTGTTTGCGTTTTTTTTTTCTGTTAATTTAACACGTTTCCATTCTAACCCAAAATCTTCCCTAATACTTCACTATTTGGGAAACTTTTTAAAGGAAGAAATGTTCTACATAAAATTTCATTATAAGTCACCGAAGAAAAGAAATGTATGTTTCCATTGCATATCAAAAAAATATTTGCATTAATCTTCCGAAAAAAAAAATCAAAAATATTTCCTAATTTTTTGATCAATTTTCTTTTTGGACTTTTTTCAAGTTGACGCCTGAAAGTAACATCAAATTTCATTTTAGGCAGAAGGTGTTAAAGGAAGATATATTCTACACCAAATTCTACTATAAATCTCAGAATAAACCATATGTCTAGGTGCAGAAACTATTGCAATTATTTTCAAAATGTATGCACTAAATGTGAAAATTATGTCCTGTCTTTTTGGTACTGTTAATTTAGCACGTTTCGATTCTAAGTCAATATCTTCTCTAATACCTCACTTTTTTGGAAACTTTTTAAAAGAAGAAATATTCTACATCAAATTTCATTATAAGTCACCGAAGAAAAGAAATGTATATTTCCGTTGCATATCAAAAAAATATTTGCATCAATATTCCGAAAAAAAAAAAAACGAAAATATTCCCTTAATTTTTTTGACCAATTTTTCACCAGACTTTTTTCGAGTTGAAGTAAGTAACATAAAACTTCATTTTAGGCAGAAGGGGTTAAAAGAAGATATATTCTACACAAGATTTCACTATAAATCTCAGAATAGACCATATGTCTAGGTACAATAGTATATAAGTAAATTATACTCTTAATATATGCACTAAATTTGAATATTACGTGTTTGCGTTTTTTTTACTGTTAATTTAACACGTTTCCATTCTAAGTCAATATCTTCGTTAATACTCCATTTTTGGAAAATATTTTAAAGACAAAAACATTCTCCATCAAATTTTACTATAGGTCCCCAAAGAAAAGAAATGTCTATTTCCATTGCATATCAAAAAAATATTTGCATTAATCTTCCGAAAAAAAATTCAAAAATATTTCCTAATTTTTTGATCAATTTTCTTTCGGACTTTTTTCGAGTTGTCGCCTGAAAGTAACATAAAATATTATTTTAGCCAAAAGGTGTTAAGGGGAGAAATATTCTGCACAAGATTTTACTATAAATCTCAGAATAAACCATATGTCTAGGTGCAATAGTTTCTATGAAAATTATATTCAAAATTTATGCACCAGTGTGAAAATTATGCGTTTGGGTTTTTTTTCTGTTAATTTAACACGTTTCAATTTCAAGCCAATATCTTCGTTAATACTCCATTTTTGGAAAATATTTTAAAGACTAAAATATTCTTCATCAAATTTTACTATAAGTCACCAAAGAAAAGAAATTTCTATTTCCATTGCATATCAAAAAAATATTTGCATTAATCTTCCAAAAAAAAAAACGAAAATATTCCCTTAATTTTTTTATCAATTTTCTTTCGGACTTTTTTCGAGTTGACGCCTGAAAGTAACATAAAATCTCGTTTTAGACGAAAAGTGTAAAACGAAGAATTATTCTAAACAAAATTTCACTATACATCTCAAAAGAAACCGTATACCTAGGTGCAATAGTTTCTATAAAAATTATATTCAAAATGTATGTATTAAAATTGAAAATTATGTCCTGTCTTTTTGGTACTGATAATTCAACACGTAACCAATCCGTGTCCAAATTTTCACTTTTTCCAGGTTTTGAAAATATTTTTTTAAATTATTTGATTTTTAAATTGATTTTTTTAATAAAATAATATATCTACTCACAAAACGACACTCAATTATGGAACAGGCTCTAAAACATTTCTCCCGGCCACTGTGTGAGGGACGGCCATAGATGAGACGCAAGATTTCCGCTGTAAACAACAAAAACACATGACATTAATATCAAATTTTCAAAATTCAAAAAATATATTCCAAAAATATTTTCCACAAAATTCCAACCCACCTTGACCCACCCGATGTGAGATGGCACAGCGGCGTATTGAATCCTTTAGACGTTCTTTGCCACAAAATTCCTAGGAAGTCATTAAAAAAAAAAAAACAAATAAAATTTTCAAAATTAAAAAAATTTAAATTCAATTTTGCATTGAATTCAAACCTGCGCCGGGGCTCTCTGCAGCACAACTACAACTATGAATAAAATTCCGATTAATTTCGACATTGTGGTAATTTCGGAATCTCTTCTAATACTGTTATACCATTGCCATTACTTATTTGATTTTTATAGATTTTATATTTAATTGTGGACTGGTTATTATGTGTTCTGTTCTTGATTTTACAATTAATAAATCAGACGAAGTTGTGTATCTGTCATAGAATACAGTGGAACATGTTTAGGGAGAACACAAAATATTGCAAAAATTGTATTTTTTATACCCTGCACCATAGTATGGAAGGTATATTATGTTTGTCATTCCATTTATATACATTTTAGACCCCACAAAGTATATATATTCTTGATCAGAATATAATTCTATGTCGATTTATCAATGTCCGTCCGTCTGTGGAAATCACTCTAGCTTCCGAACGAAATGAAGTAGGTTGATAAATTTTTACTCAAATGTGTACTATGTCTGCAGGACATTTGGTATTGTAAATGGGCCATGTAAGTCGACATTTTGGTATAGCCACCATATAACGGTACCTCCCGATATTCGGTATTTTGATGATTTTAGCGACATTATTCACCGGAATTGTTTCAAATTTGATATTTAAAATTCATAACGGATACTACATCCTAAGACAGAAAATGAGTCATATAGGTCCACGTCTTCGTATAGCCCCCATATAACGCTACCTCCCAATAATCGGTATTTTGATGATTTTGGCGACATTATTCACCAGAATTGTTTCAAATTTCGCATCGGAAGTTCGTAGTGGATACTACATCCTAAGATAGAAAATTGTCTGTGCAGGTCCACGTCTTCGTATAGCTCCCATACCTACCGGCACCTCCCTATAATCGGTATTTTGATTTGATTTAAGCGTCATTATTCGACGGAATTGTTTCATATTTGGTATTTGAAGTTCGTAGTGGATACTACAGCCTATGACAGAAAATTATATGTGCAGGTCCACGTCTTCGTATAGCTCCGATATAACGGTACCTCCCAATAATCGGTATTTTGATTTGATTTAAGCGACATTATTCACCGGTATTGTTTCATATTTGGTATTTGAAGTTCGTAGTGGATACTACATCCTAAGATAGAAAATTGTATGTGCAGGTCCACGTCTTCGTATAGCCCCCATGTAACGGTACCTCCCTATATTCGGTATTTTGATTTGATTTAAGCGTCATTATTCGCCGGAGTAGTTTTAAATTACGTATTTAGAGTTCGTAATGGCAGTCTGTAACAGAAAATTGTCTATGCAGGTCCAGGCCTTCGTATAGGCCCTATATATCAGTACGTCCCTATATTCGGTATTTTGACGATTTTAGTTACAATATTCAACGAAATTGTTTGAGATGTCTTTGAGATGCCACAGCCAGTGACAGAGAGTTGTCTATGCAGGTCCACGTCTTCGTATAGCTCCGATATAACGGTACCTCCCTATATGCGGTATTTTGATGATTTTAGCTACATTATTCACCGTTTATTTCACGTTTCGAATTTACATTATATTTCCAATATTTTTATTACTATATTTTGAATAAACCTGGTGTTTATGCTTTAAGTATAAACCTAAAATTGATTTTAGTTAGAATTGCCTATTGGCCAAAATCTTAAAATCGTAAGGTGTATGGTGACTTTATTCTTTAACAATATCTTTCCCTTTGAATATGCCCTTCGCCGTTTGCGTTTAATGGCGAACAAGTAAAAAATTCCAAAAGAAAATATAACGGGAACCCCCAATTGGAATTTATTCATCATCAGCCACGAACTTAAAATACCAGATGCCCCAATTTTTACACCCCGAATAAAAACAATTATTTTGTCGATTTTTTTTTTTTTTTTTTTTTTTTTTTTTTTTTGTAAAATCACTTTTTATCTTCTCCAAATTCCGTCTCATGGCAATGCCCTGTCCAGTGACACTTTGACGGGGGAAAGTGTGACAAAACATTGGATAAAAGCTTCGGTGGTATCGCAACTAAAAACAGAAAAATTCAAAAATATTAGTTTCTATAAATCTTGTCGATAACTACGGAATCTCAATGGCGCCCGAATCAAAATCAATTTTAAACAAGTAAAAAAAAAATTAAGTTCGGCCGGGCCAAACTTTTAATACCCTCCACCCTAGGGTAAAAGAACATTAGAAAAAATGTGGCAAAAAACATTAAAATGCGAATATCGGGAGGTACCGTTATATAGGGGCTACACCAACACGTGCACCTATAATTACAATGTTTCGCCACACGAGCTAGGACCCATTATGACCCACAAATACCAACTTTTACACAAATCCGTGAAAAAATGTGGCATAAATCATCAAAATACCGAATATCGGTAGGTACCGTTATATGGGGGCTATACCAAAACGTGGACCTATACATGCAATGTTTTGCCACACGCTCAGGGACCCGTCATGACCTACAAATACCAATTTTCAGATAAATCCGTGAAAAAATGTGGCATAAATCATCAAAATACCGAATATCGGGAGGTACCGTTATATGGGGACTATACCAGAACGTGGACCGATATATCTCATTTTCAATACCAACCATCCTAGGGACAATACACACACTTGTGCCAAATTTCAAAGGTCTACGTCAAATAATGTGGGCTCTATCGTGATTTCAACAGACAGACAGACAGACGGACAGACAGACAGACAGACAGACAGACAGACAGACAGACAGACGGACATCGCTAAATCGTCTTAGAATTTTATGCTGATTATGAATATATATACTTTATGGGGTCTACGACGAATATTTAGAGGTGTTACAAACGGAATGACAAAGTTAATATACCCTCCTACCCATGGTGGAGGGTATAAAAAATTGGTGTATTATGAAATTTCCATAAATATTACTCACACATTATTATGTAGCGGCGCTGTGTGTAAACAGTGCGAAACGACCCTCTTCACCAGTTCATATTTGAAAAGATCACCGGCAGACAGTACCTTGGCAACCCTGTGCGCTGTGTCATGTTTGAGAGTTCCGTCGACATTGTACTGGAAAATAAGAAAATAAATGTGAGGTTGAAGGTCAAAAAATAATGTTTGCTTTTTTATATCCTCCGCCATACGTAGTATGGAGGGTATATTAAGTTCGTCCTTCCATTTGTAACTCATCGAAATAATAATTTTACAAATTTTTTGATCGGCATAAAATTCCTAGACGATTTAGCGCGACGATTTAGGAAGCTAAAATTTTGCACAGATCAGACTTTCATCTACAGGCAGGTCAAGTTCAAAGATGGGCTATATCGGTCCACGAGGAGGGCCGGGGTGGGATTTTAGTAGGGTGCTTGAAGACGATCGGACATTTAGATGTTTAAGTAATTTTGCGCGTGAAGTAATTAGTAGAAGGAGAAGACTTAGTGGAGGGGGTCCCCGCACATAGTGGAGGTGGGCCGGTTTGGTCCTTGGACCTTTGGGATGATTGCTGGGGTTCCTCTGTGAATGTTGTGTATCTATCTATCCGTGAGGGTAGTCCTGTTTATGTTGTGTAGTCCGTTGCTGCGGTCCCAGTGGACCCATTGTGCAGTTCGTGAGGACAGCATGTTAATTGTCATGCTTTGAGTGCGTGTTCTCTGCTGATTTTCTGTTGGTGGTGGCTGACCAGTCCCGGACTGTTTGAAGTTCAACTGGTAGTAGCATTGCTACGAAGCCTGACCGGAGGCTATATTCTGGTACGGCAGGTGCCAGGTGCCCCTAGGTCTTCGATGTTAGCCACCCTGGTGGGAGCATCGCGGTGGCTGTGGTTTAAACCCAAATCGCGGGAAGAGTGTGTTGCTCGAATGTGGAGTTGCATTACCAACCGGGTGCCTGACCCATAAAAAGGCAGGAGTTTAGATAGGCTCCGCTCCTAACCAAGGAGGCGACCGCGTCCAAATAACGTGCGAGCGAATTGGTACTCATTTTTGTGGGGCAGACGCATTGTATTCACCCGGCGCTAAGACCACTGTGAGATAGACCGCAAGGTATGTGCTCACATAAAACAAAACTCAGGTATATCGGTCCACGATAACGATACCCCTGATATTCGGTATTTTGATGATTTTAGCTACATTTTTCTAGAATCTAAAAATTCATACTAGAAGTCCTGTCTAAGCACTTTAGCCCCTAGAAGAGATAGGTTCACGAAATCGTATAGCCCACATACAACGGTACCTCCCAATATTCGATATTTCTACGATTTTAGGGACATTATTCGCCGAAGTTTCCTATTTAAAATTCGTTATAGGTACTACAGCCTACGGCCGAATTTACCTGCATTTTTATTTGTCATTTTATGATCGTTTACGAGCCTAACTTTTATGATCGTCACTAAAAACCACTTTTTCTAGGCTTGATCCTTTCCAGCTGTATTGTCAGGCAAAATTTTCTTAAAAAATCTGCGGATCATCCACCACCGGTTTCTTACAATTATCTCCTTCTGGAATTAGGTTATCAGAAATTTATATAAGTATTTATAACCGAAGGAGAATTTTCTATACGTACAAATTATTTGAGTTTTGTCTCATTTTGCTGTACCGAAATATCGAAGGCATGCAGACCTTTTTTTTCGTTGAACGGAATTTTTTTTTGCTATCCTTTTTATAGCCTACACCACAAGGTGGTCAGGTTATTATGTCTTTGTGCATATGTTTGTAACAGACAAAAGGAAACGAGATGGAACCATAGTTCCTTTTGATGATCTGCATAGAATTACATTCTGAGTCGATTTATGCATGTCCCTCCGTCCGTCTATCCGTCTGTCCATGTATTTTTGTAAACAAAATGCAGGTCGCATTTATTGCCCGATCCAGATGCAGATTTTGCACAATTCCTTTGTTTGGCCCAAGGACGAACCCTAATGAAATCGGAGAAAATCGGTCAAAATTTAGATATAGCTCCCATATATATCTTCGTCCGATTTACCTTTTATTGTGCACCAAACGTGTAATATCAGCCCGAATAGTATGGAATTTTGCACATACAACCACATTAGGTCTGAAAATAAGTATGCCAAATTTGATCGAAATCGGTTCAGATATAGCTATAGTTCCGATACATATTTTTCATCCGATTTATTATTTTTGTCCTCCGCAGCCGTAATATGCACTCCGTAACAACGATATTCAAGGAAATATATCACATACAGCTCAGAAATACATTTGCTAAATTTTATCGAGATCGGTTCAGATTTGGATATAGCTCCCACATATAACTTCGTCCGATTTACCTTTGATTGTGCACCAAACGTCTAATATTTGCCCAAATGGGATGAAATTTGGCACTTGCGACCGAATTGAGCCTAGAAGCTAGTATGTCAAATTAAGTAAAGATCGGTTCATATTTGGATATAGCTCCCACATATAACTTCGTCCGATTTACCTTTTATTGTGCACCAAACTTCTAATATTTGTCCAAATGGAATGGAATTTGGCACTTACGACCGAATTGAGTCTAGAAGCTAGTATGCCAAAGTTGATCGAAATCGGTGCAGATATAGCTATAGCTCCCGTATATATTATTCATCCGATTTGTTATTTTTGTCCTCCATAGTCGTAATATGAACTCTATAACAACAATATTTGGGGAAATATACCAAATATAGCTCAGAAATATCTTTGCCAAATTTTATCGAGATCGGTTCAGATTTGGATATAGCTCCCATATATAACTTCGTCCGATTCAGCTTTTATTGTGCACCAAACGTCTAATATTTGTCCAAATGGGATGGAATTTGGCACATACAACCGAATTGAGTCTAGAAGCTGGTATGCCAAATTTGATGAAGATCGATTCCGATTTGGATATAGCTCCCATATATAACTTCGTCCGATTTGCCTTTTATTGTGCACCAAACGTCTAGTATTTGTCCAAATGGAATGGAATTTGGCACATACGACCGAATTGAGTCTAGAAGCTAGTATGTCAAATTTGGTGAAGATCGGTTCAGATATAGCTATAGCTCCCATATATATTGTTCATCCGATTTGTTATTTTTGTCCTCCGCAGCCGTAATATGCACTCCGTAACAATGATATTCAGGGAAATATATCAAATACAGCTCAGAAATATCTTTGCCAAATTTTATCGAGATCGATTCCGATTTGGATATAGCTCCCATATATATTTTTATTCGATTTCAAACTACACACTTCGAACTAATTTTTATAAATGAACAAAAAGTCAACTTTTTGATAGCCACTCCTGAAACGCAACAAAATCTTCGTTTATGCTTAGAAAAAAAAACACAACAACAAGACAAGCAGTATTTCAGGACTTATCTGGGCAAAATATGATCCGAAAATACATTATTATAATCACTTTTCAAACAACTGCATGATCTTCTTAAGATTAAACACTTTTCAGTAATCTTTCTTTTAAAACGTTTTGAAATCATTAAAAATGTTTTAAAATTTTTTTTAAAACGTTTTGAGATCGTTAAAAATGTTCAAGTAATTTTGATGCGTGTTCATTCATTGCCGTCTGAACAGCAACTGAACCAAAGAGCGTAAGAGTGCGTGAGAGTTGAGAAGTAACGTTAGTGTGTATGAGGCAGTGCCTAACTCTCTCTCACACTCTTACGCTCTGTGGTTAGTATGTGTGAGAGTTGCCAAGCAACGCCAAATGAAAGGCCATCTAATTGTTTATAGATCGTTGAGTTGAGCGTCACGTTAAAATTTTCGCTTTGGCAAAGTCGTGCCTTCAAGTCAATTTTTATTTTCGGCAAAGAATTTTGGATCTATATTCTGATATACTCCAATTATGTGAATACGACTTCTATTTCACAATTTTATTATGGGACTTCTCTTTTTCCATTTCTTTACAATTTTTTTGTCTCATTGTACTTACGTATTGGCATTCAATCATGGAACAGGCCCGGAAGCATTTCTCATTAAAGCTTTGTGGTGGATGGAAATATATGACTCGATATATTTCGGCTGCAAAAAAAAAAACAAAATTTTGAATATCGCGATAATTCAGTTCTCTTTTTTTGGTTGGAAAAAATAGCTTACCCTTTCCCACACCCGTCTTTTGGGAACACACGCGAAAGACATTTTTCAAAGGCTCCTTGCTGCACCATTCCTGAACCTAAAAAAAAATAAAACAATTTTTTTACAGGCTCAACTTTTTTTAGAATTTCTTTTTCAAAATCCACCTCTGCCTTACAAATTTGAAATCCAATTAAAAAAATAAATAAAATTGCAACTGTTTGCATTGCAGCTATTTTGAAACGAATTTCAATACTGTTGTTGTCTGGCAAGTATGAACTTGATTTTTATATAGATTTCTAATTGAAAAAATTATGAAATTTCGAAAAAGACTGGTTTATTTCGGTTGGGGTTTTTATATTCTAAAGAAATTGCAAATTGGCCTTGGTTATTTTTGTGTGGCATGAAAGAAGATCAAAAATCGGTCATTGGACTTCAAAAAACAAAAAAAAAAAAAAACAAAACAAATGAATATTTAAGTTTAATTTGAGAACATTTGATGGAAGTTGAATTTAAGTATTGCTGATGACGATCAGGCGTCAATCATTAAAGCACGTGTGTTGTAAATTGTCCAAAAAATAATAGGAGGAGCTCTCTAGGACCAAGAAGTCTTACTAATGGAATTTTTTTCATAGTTCACATCTGCCTAAATGTCAAATTACTGTGATTTACGTCGATGGAGAGTAGAGGTCCTCTATTCGAACATTACTGGAAAAATAATAATTCGTAGGTGGATTATTGAGGACCAGAACAACGTTTGTCGAGAAGTTGATAACAAATGAATATGAAAGTTTAATTTGAGAACATTTAATGGAAGTTGAATTTGAGTATCACTGATGACGATCAGGCGTCAATCATCGAAGCACGTGTGTTATAAATTATCGAAAAAAAATAGGAGGAGCTCTCTAGGACCAAGAAGTTTAACTAATGGATTTTTTTCATAATTTGAATCTGTCAATATGTCAAATTACTGTGATTTACGTTGATGGAAAGAAGAGGTCCTCTATTCGAACATTACTGGAAAAATTATAATTCGTAGATGGATTGTTGCGGGCCAGAACAACTTTTGTCGAGAAGTTGATAACAAAAATGAATATAAAATTTTAATTTGAGAACATTTAATGGAAGTTGAATTTAAGTATTCCTGATGAAGATCAGGCGTCAATCATCGAAGCACGTGTATTATAAATTATCCAAAAAAAATAGGAGGAGCTCTCTAAGACCAGATATATTAAGGAAGTTGTACTAATGGAATTTTTTCGTGGAATTTTTTAATGGAATTTTTGCAAATATGTCAAATTTCTGTGATTTACGTTGATGGAAAGGAGAGGTCCTCTATTCGAAAATTACTGGAAAAATAATAATTCGTAGGTGGATTGTTGTGGACCAGAACAACTTTTGTCGAGAAGCTGATTACCAACTGAATATGACAGTTTAATTTGAGAACATTTAATGGAAGTTGAATTTGAATATTCCTGATGAAGATCAGCCGTCAATCATTAAAGCACGTGTGTTATAATTTGTTCAAAAAATAGGAGGAGCTGTCTAGGACCCGTTATATTAAGGAAGTCTTACTAATGGAACTTTTTTCGTGGAATTTTTTAATGGAATTTTTGCCAATATGTCAAATTTCTGTGATTTACGTTGATGGAAAGGAGAGGTCCTCTATTCGAACATTACTGGAAAAAAATAATAATTCGTGGGTGGATTATTGAGGACCAGAACAACTTTTGTCGAGAAGTTGATAACTATTGTTGATAATAATTTGAGAACATTTAATGGAAGTTGAATTTGAGTATTGCTGATGAAAAACGGCCGTCAATGATTAAAGCACGTGTGTTATAAATTATTAAAAAAAAAAATAGGAGGAGCTGTCTAGGACCAGTTATTTTAAGGAAGTCTTACTAATGGAGTTTTTTTCATAATTCACATCTGCCAATATGTCAAATTACTGTGATTTATGTTGATGGAGAGGAAAGGTCCTCCATTCGAACATTACTGGAAAAATAATAATTCGTAGGTGCATTGTTGAGGACCAGAACAACAATTTTTCCGAGAAGTTGATAACAAATGAATATTAAATTTTAATTTGCAAACATTGAATGGAAATTGAATTTAAGTATTACTGATGACGGTCAGGCGTCAATCATCGAAGCACGTGTGTTATAAATTATCCAATAAAAAAGAGGAGGAGCTGTCTAGGACCAGTTATATTAAGGAAGTCTTACTAATGGAATTTTTTTCATAATTTACATCTGCGTAAATGTCAAATTACTGTGATTTACGTTGATGGAAAGGAGAGGTCCTCTATTCGAACATTACTGGAAAAATAATAATTCTTAGGTGGATTGTTGAGGGCCAGAACAACTTTTGTCGAGAAATTGATAACTTTAGTTCATTGCAAACCAATTTACAGATTGGTAGACCTTACATTGATGAGTCTTAAATCCGAAAACGGATATATCACCGTCGACACATTTTTGAGGGCCAATGGGTTTTCGGTGGCAGGAAAAAATACTGGGATTGTTTTCGTAGCGATACGGCACCTAAGGATTTTTTTTTTTGGATCTGGAAACTGGTCTGCATGAGAGTAAAGTACGAACGGAATAATCACCAACGACACACTATTGAGGGTAATGGGTCTTCAGCGGCATTGAACTGTAAATTAATAAATGCTTTATGTTTCCCAATACGTAGATGGATTGTTGAGGACCAGAACAACTTTTGTCGAGAAGTTGAAAACTTTAGTTCATTACAAACCAATTTACGGATTGGCAGACTTGACATTGAGGAGTCTAAAATCCGAAAACTGAAATATCACCGTCGACGCATTGCTGAGGGGCAATGGGTGTTCCGCCCTATCGAACGGAGAATTTATAAATGCTTTGTGTTTCCTATTAAGTATATGATAATATGCTAGGATTATTTTCGTAGCGGTACCGAACCTTGGGAATTTTTTTTTTGGATCTGGAAACTGGGCAACATGACATCTGGAAACGGCGGCATCGATCGGAGAATTAATAAATGTTTTGTGTTTCCCATTACGCATATGATAATATACTAGGATTATTTTCGTAGCGGCACGGAACTTTGGGAATTTTTTTTGGATCTGGAAACTGGTCAGCATGGGTCTAAAGTACGAACGGAATCATCACCATCGACACACTATTGAGGGGAATGGGTTTTCGGCGGCATTGAACGGTAAATTAATAAATGATTTATATTTCCCAATACGTATAAGATTATTTTCGTAGCTGTACGACACCTTGGGAGAATTTTTTTTTTTGGATCAGGGGACTGGTAGGCATTCTAACACTGTAGAGGTTAATTTTTTGTTACCTCAAGGTATATCTTTCTGCATATAACATTTCTCAACGGTGATGCTAAGAAAACGGAGAGATTTAATTGGTCCAGCAAATCCTAAAATATCAAACTCCGCTCGAAGTCTGCTATTTTATTAAAATAAATAAGCTAAAAAAAAGCGTAGGAATGATATGGATAAGGAAAATAAAAAATAAAATCCAAAAAAAAAAAAACTGTAAAGAAAGTCCTATAGTCGGGCGGGCCGATTTTATGATACCCTACACCACTTTGCTAATTTAGTTGAGCTCCACTTAATAATTAAAAGATTTTATGGGAGAATTCAATCATACACGCTATGATTATAATTATAATTTAAAATTCAAAAGACTAAATATGCCGAAGCATTTGTATCTTTTAAATTCGGACTTGTATTGCCCATTTGGTGCACAATTAATTTGAAATCGGATCGGATCTCGATAAAATTTGGCAAAGATATTTCTGAGCTGTATTTGATATATTTCCCTGAATATCGTTGTTACGGAGTGCATATTACGGCTGTGGGTAAAAAATATAAAAAATCGGATGAACAGTATATATGGGAGCTATAGCTATATCAGAACCGATCTTCACCAAATTTGACATACTAGCTTCTAGACTCAATTCGGTCGTAAGTGCCAAATTTCATCCCATTTGGGCAAATATTAGACGTTTGGAGCACAATCAAAGGTAAATCGGACGAAGTTATATATGGGAGCTATATCCAAATCTGAACCGATCTCGATAAAATTTAGCAAATGTATTTCTGAGCTGTATTTGATAGATTTCCCCAAATATTGTTGTTACAGAGTGCATATTACGGCTGCGGAGGACAAAAATAACAAATCGGATGATCAATATACAAGGGAGCTATAGCTATATCTGAATCGATCTCTATAAAATTTGGCATACTTATTTTCAGGCCTAATTTGGTTGTATGTGCAAAATTTCATACTATTCGGGCTGATATTACACGTTTGGTGCACAATAAAAAGCAAAACGGACGAAGTTATATACGGGAGCTATATCTAAATTTTGACCGATTATCTCCAATTTCAATAGGGTTCGTCATTGGGCCAAACAAATGATTTGTGCAAAATTTCATCTGGATAGGGTAATAAATGCGAACTGTACTTTGTTCACAAAAATACATGGACAGACGGACGGACGGAGGGACATGCATAATCCGACTCAGAATGTGATTCTATGCAGATCATCAAAAGGAACTATGGGTCTATCTCGTTTCCTTTTGCCTGTTACAAACAAATGCACAAAGACATAATACCCTGACCACCTGGTGATGCATGAAATACATACAGGGCTTCACGAATATTTTCCAAAAAAACACAACCAGGAGAAGGCGCTAAAGACGAAAAACATCTGCAGGTGGCTGTTGCTCCATCGACTAGGCTTTACATAAATAATACTTATATCGTCCTTTCTATAACCTTGAGATTGACTAAAATCGACTCTCATATCAGAAAATAATCCGAAAAGATCCGAAGTTGTGCGGTGATTTCAGACAGTGTACCCATCTATAATATGCCTCAAGTGGGGACCCTTGCATTCGTCTTTTTGGAGTGATACATAAGTTGAAGCTCTCGGCATCCTTAAAATAAATTTATTTGCAAATGATGCAATTGGGCGCCACCAAAAATGATTTTGGAAATTATTACTCCACACCTACAAATCCATGAGAAATTCTTAGGACTATTAAGGATATCGCGCGAAACATCTATTTCCACATCCATTTTCTTTGGGAGAATAACAAAAACTGTTATCTTGTGGTTTCAAATGAAAATTTAAACCAAGAGAATTGAAGGGAAAATATGACCTCTTTTTCGACACGCTTATTAAAGGTACCGGCTTGAAAATTAGCCTCTGCTACTAGAAGACCAAACAGTGTTCTGCTGTATTCTTCGAATTAGGGCAGCTTTGTAAAGACAGTATTTTCTCGAATACAGAATTGATATGCAGCTGGAAGAAAACGTTGATTGTTGAGCTGAATGTCAAATTTTAATTCAATTTAGAAAAAAACTAAAACTTCATTTTTTTTTTTTTAAACAAATATTGAAAATCTTTGATGGTTCGTAATCCTAAATTCTTGGGTAAATTATTACTTCGAAAGAGTTGAGAAAGACTTCCCATAGATCTTCTATCAGCCTTCTGAGTACAATACTAGATATGGTCACACACCCCCGAAATCTACCTGTAAGCCATCATTTTACAGAATCTCTCCAGAATATCTTGTATTTAACGGAGGAATAAAACCATAAACATATTTCATAATTTCAAAAATTCATATAACTTTATTCTACAACAATTGTACACATGTGGTGTTTCTTCACAGTCGAGAAACTGATAATTTTGGAATATGCATTTTTTGGATTTTGGGAAAATTTCCCATCACCTCGTCCGCCCTCAAAAGTATGTACAAAATATTTTATTCTTCCATATTTTATGAGGACCTAAATTGCAGCAGCCAAATCTAAGCCACAATCCTTGCAAGTTCCAAGAATGCATCTGGACCAGTTTTCGCCGGTATTACATCTGCAATAAAAAATATTCAAAATATTAAACATCGTACTCCCACACCTACTTCCTGGTTACTCACATATCCTTCTCATCATATTTTATGGAATTCAGACACTTCTTGCCAGCTTCCAAAATTCTCGGGATTTTACTCTCATCACCACCGTATAGAACATAGGCGGCCCTTAGAAGAACTTCTTCGGTAAGTTTGCCATTTTCATCGAACTGAAAAAAAAAATTATAAAAATTAAAATTTTAATAAATTTAAGGAGAAACATGGGACACGGGAAGAAAAGCAATTGAAGAGATGGAAAATAATGAAAATTTTATATATTTTTAGGAGATAAGTGAGACAGGACAAGAAAAGCAATTGAAAATGGAATAGAAAACTTATTGAGGATCTCTTAGGAAGCAGTACTCCCAATTACTTACCCAGCCACAGTCTCTCATGGTACAGGTACGGAAACACTTGCCTTTCTCATCGTTGGCATCCTTGTGGGCAATCCAGTCGGCTAAAAGAGCTACAATTGAAAAGGAAATCGTTTTAAAAATTCCCTGAGATTCGAATATTACTAATTTTGAAAAAAAAACAAATTCTATCAAGTCGATATTACGAGCTGCCTGGAAATGAGTTATATACAATTCCGTGGGACTCGAATATTACTAATATTGAAAAAATCAAAATTATTCCTGGGCAAAATTAAGGCGATATTAAGAGCTGGAATGGAAATGAAATCAAGCTAACTAAAATTCCGAGAGATTCGAATATGACTAATATTGAAAAATATATATATAAGTTATTCCTGAAAACAATCAAGACGAGATTAAGAGCCGCAATGGAAATGGGTTAAATAAAGATGCGATGGATTCGAATATTACTAATATTGAAAATAATTTCAAATTTATCGATACGGACAAGGACATATCGCTACAGTTGAAAAAGAATCGTTTTAAAAATTCCCTAAGATTCGAATATGATTAATTTTGAAAAAAAAAATCAAATTCTATCAAGTCGATATTAAGGGCTGCCTGGAAATGAGTTACATACAATTCCGTAGGACTCGAGTATTACTAATATTGAAAAAATCAAAATTATTCCTGGGCAAAATTAAGGCGATATTAAGAGCTGGAATGGAAATGAAGTCGATTCAACTGAAATTCCGTGAGATTCGAATATTACTAATATTGAAAAAAAAATAAGTTTTTCCTGTGAAAAATCAAGACGAGATTAAGAGCTGCAATGGAAATGGGTTAAATAAAGTTCCGAGGGAATCGAATATTACTAATATTGAAAATAATTTGAAATTTATCGCTATGGATTCCCTGAGATTCGAATATTACTAATTTTGAAAAAAAAAATCAAATTCTATCAAGTCGATATTAAGAGCTGCCTGGAAATGAGTTGCATACAATTCCGTAAGACTCGAGTATTACTAATATTGAAAAAATCAAAATTATTCCTGGGCAAAATTAAGGCAATATTAAGAGCTGGAATGGAAATGAAATCAAGCTAACTAAAATTCCGTGAGATTCGAATATTACTAATATTCAAAAAAAATATATAGGTTTTTCATGTGAAAAATCAAGACGAGATCAAGAGCTGCAATGGAAATGGGTTAAATAAGGATCCGATGGATTCGAATATTGCAAATATTGAAAATAATTTCAAATTTATCGCTACGGACAAATTCATCGTTACAATTGAAAAAGAAATCGTTTTAAAAATTCCCTGAGATTCGAATATTACTAATTATTTAAAAAAAAAAAAATCAAATTCTATCAAGTCGATATTAAGAGCTGCCTGGAAATGAGTTACATACAATTCCGTGGGACTCGAATATTACTAATATTGAAAAAATCAAAATTATTCCTGGGCAAAATTAAGGCCATATTAAGAGCTACAATGAAAATGAAATCAAGCTAACTAAATTTCCGTAAGATTCGAATATTACTAATATTGAAAAAAATACATAAGTTTTTCCTGTGAAAAATCAAGACGATACTAAGAGCTGCAATGGAAATGAGTTAGATCATGTTCCGAGGGATTCGAATATTACTAAAATTGAAAATAATTTCAAATTTATCGCTACGGACAAGGGCTTATCGCTACAGTTATAAGCGCTAAGTAAATCCAAGTTATTCCGACATTAGGAACTGCAATGGAAACAAAATCGAGTTAAATGAAATTCCCTGGGATTCGAATATTACTAATATTTGTTAAGGATTTCGAAGTTACATATTGAACGCCAGATTTTTTCTATTTGGGAAATAATCTTAGAAGATCATCTATCATTTTTATAAGCTACTACAATTGAAAAGGAAATCGTGTTAAAAATTCCCTGAGATTCGAATATTACTAATTTTGAAAAAAAAAAAAATCAAATTCTATCAAGTCCATATTAAGAGCTGCCTGGAAATGAGTTACATACAATTCCGCGGGACTCGAATATTACTAATATTGAAAAAATCAAAATTATTCCTGTGAAAAATTAAGGCCATATTAGGAGCTACAATGGAAATGAAATCGATTCAACTAAAATTCCGTGAGATTCGAATATTACTAATATTGAAAAAAAAATAAGTTTTTCCTGTGAAAAATCAAGACGAGATTAAGAGCTGCAATGGAAATGGGTTAAATAAAGTTCCGTGGGATTCGAATATTACTAAAATTGAAAATAATTTCAAATTTATCGCTATGGATTCCCTGAGATTCGAATATTACTAATTTTGAAAAAAAAAATCAAATTCTATCAAGTCGATATTAAGAGCTGCCTGGAAATGAGTTGCATACAATTCCGTAAGACTCGAGTATTACTAATATTGAAAAAATCAAAATTATTCCTGGGCAAAATTAAGGCAATATTAAGAGCTGGAATGGAAATGAAATCAAGCTAACTAAAATTCCGTGAGATTCGAATATTACTAATATTCAAAAAAAATATATAGGTTTTTCATGTGAAAAATCAAGACGAGATCAAGAGCTGCAATGGAAATGGGTTAAATAAGGATCCGATGGATTCGAATATTGCAAATATTGAAAATAATTTCAAATTTATCGCTACGGACAAATTCATCGTTACAATTGAAAAAGAAATCGTTTTAAAAATTTCCTGAGATTCGAATATTAATAATTTTGAAAAAAAAAAATCAAATTCTATCAAGTCGATATTAAGAGCTGCCTGGAAATGAGTTACATACAATTCCGTGGGACTCGAATATTACTAATATTGAAAAAATCAAAATTATTCCTGGGCAAAAGTAATGGAAATGAGATAAATAATGTTCCGAGGGATTCGAATATTACTAATATTGAAAATAATTTCAAATTTATCGATACGGACAAGGGCTTAGCGCTACAGTTATAAGAGCTTAGTAAATCCAATTTATTCCTTTGACAATCATATCGATATTAGGAACTGCAATGGGAAAAAAAATCGAGTTAAATGAAATTCCCTGGGATTCGAATATTACTAATATTTGTCAAGGATTTCTATTTGGAAAATAACTTTAAAAGATCATCAATCCTTTTTATAGAAACTAGCCTTCTGGAAGGCCATATATCCACATAAGAAGGCAATATACGCACATGGACAATGAAGACGATATGAAGAGCTGGAAATGAATTGTCGTGGGATGTGAATATTACTAGCACTGAAAAAAATTTCAAATTCCTTTGGACAATCAAGTCGATATTTGGAGCTGCAAAGGGAATGATTTTCAATCAATGGAATATTTCTGATTGGTTATTCGATTCATAGGACATTTTGGGAAAGTCTTCCTTCCACGGAAAGGCTTCTATCTGCTGAGGAGCTAAAGAAACTATTCCACACATAATAAAAACTCAAAAAAACGTCTTCTAAACACGGAGATCCTTTAGAAGATCTCAGCTTTTTATTCTACAAATAGAAGGCTTAAAGAATGTATACTGAAAAAGGAGATCCCATAGAAGATCGTTTCACCCAAAGTATATCCGCAGAGAATCTTGTGCAAATAGAAAAATTCTAGAGACTATTTTCTGGAGAGGACAAATTTGGAGATTGGCGTACCTGGCATCGATGAATAACGCTGTTGAGGTGCAATGGGTTTTCGGCGGCATAGAACGGGGAGAATTAATAAACGGTTTATGTTACCCATATGAAAATATAATTCGATTATTTTTGGTAGCTGTACGACACCTTGGGGCATATTTCTGGAAACTGGTCAGCAAAGAGTCTAAAGTACGAAAACGGAAATATCACCATCGTCCCACTGTTGAGGGGCAATAAGTTTTCGTTGGCGTTGAACGGGGAATTAATAAACGGTTTATGTCACCCATTGGGTACATGAAAATATACCAGAATATACACCTTGGGAGGATTTTTTTGGATCTGGAAACTGGTCAGCATGAGTCACCTCGACATATACATTTTAGACCCCACAAGGTATATATTATATTCTTGATCAGCATAAAATTCTATGTCGATTTACCGATGTCCGTCCGTCTATCCGTCTGTGGAAATCACTCTAGCTTCCGAACGAAATGAAGTAAGTTGATAAAATTGATACTCAAATGTGTACTATATCTGAAGGACTTTTGGTATTGAAAATGGGTCATGTAGGTCAACGTTTTGGTATAGTAGCCCTTATATAATTGTACCTCCCGATATTCGGTATTTTGATGATTTTAGCGACATTTTTCACCGGAATTGTTTCAAATTTGGTATTTTGGTATAAAAACATTTTTTCGAGACTCCTATATAAACGTGGATTTTTTAAAAATATTTTTTCGAGACTCCAATATAAACGTGGATTTTTTAAAAATATTTTTTCGAGACTCCAATATTAACGTGGATTTTTTTAAAAATATTTTTTCGAGACTCCAATATTAACGTGGATTTTTTTAAAAATATTTTTTCGAGACTCCAATATTAACGTGGATTTTTTTAAAAATATTTTTTCGAGACTCCAATATTAACGTGGATTTTTTTAAAAATATTTTTTCGAGACTCCAATATTAACGTGGATTTTTTTAAAAATATTTTTTCGAGACTCCAATATTAACGTGGATTTTTTTAAAAATATTTTTTCGAGACTCCAATATTAACGTGGATTTTTTTAAAAATATTTTTTCGAGACTCCAATATAAACGGGGGTTTTTTAAAAATATTTTTTCGAGACTCCAATATTAACGTGGATTTTTTTAAAAATATTTTTTCGAGACTCCAATATTAACGTGGATTTTTTTAAAAATATTTTTTCGAGACTCCAATATAAACGTGGATTTTTTAAAAATATTTTTTCGAGACTCCAATATTAACGTGGATTTTTTTTAAATATTTTTTCGAGACTCCAATATTAACGTGGATTTTTTAAAAATATTTTTCGAGACTCCAATATTAACGTGGATTTTTTTAAAAATATTTTTTCGAGACTCCAATATAAACGTGGTTTTTTTAAAAATATTTTTTCGAGACTCTAAAATAAACATGTATTTTTTAAAAATATTTTTTCGAGACTCCAATATTAACGTGGATTTTTTAAAAATATTTTTTCGAGACTCCAATATTAACGTGGATTTTTTTAAAAATATTTTTTCGAGACTCCAATATAAACGTGGATTTTTTTAAAAATATTTTTTCGAGACTCCAATATAAACGTGGATTTTTTAAAAATATTTTTTTCGAGACTCCAATATAAACGTGGATTTTTTAAAAATATTTTTTCGAGACTCCTTTCTTAAAAAGAAAATTTCCAAATAAAAAATTATGTTTACTTACCCTTATCCCCGCCATACTCCTTCAGGCAATCTCCAAAAACTTTCTTCAAATCTGATCCCGGGCATTTATCAATCTGAAAATAAAATCCAAAGATATTTAAAATATCCAATAATCAAGTATGGAATTTGAAAACTTACCAGGCCATAACAGCCAACAATGACTAATAGCAAAATTCCGATTATTTTCATTGTTCGTTTCGTTCAAACTATTGATTCCAACTGTTTGTTGATAGTTTATATGGCCTGGTCTAAATATATTTCAGCTTGTACCATGTTACCTAAGCTAGCTAACCTGTTGCCAATGGCCAATGGAAATTATTTTAATTGCATAATTACATATTTGACATATTTTCCATAAATAGAACAGATCTGGAAAAAAAAATTATCTTAAGTCGATAATAATAATCTTTTCAGATCAATACAAAGTTTGTTTACAAAGGCCTTTAATAATGCCTACACAGTTCGGAATATTTGCAAATTATTAATTGATTTTACAATTTCTAGGCAGAATGTCGTCATGGAAGCCGTGTATAAATTTACAACGCTGCCTTTTTTTAATAATTTTAAACTAACACAAGTAAAAAAGCTGTAAGTTTGGCCCGGCCGAACTTGGATTCACTACCAACATTTTTTCTTTTTTATTTTTCACAATTTTTTTTTCCAAAATTATATAGGCATTTCAAATTAGTCATTTTTTAATATATAATCAAAGAGCAGCCGACAAATTAAGACTACATTTCTTGCAGTTTCCCATAATGCATCTGGAAAAGTTTTCACCGCTATTGCACCTGAAATTCGAAAAGGTAACATGTAAATGATATAATGCATGTGTTCTCCTCCTTTTACTTACATATTTTTCTCATCATACTGAATGGTGTCTAGGCATTTTTTACCCGCCTCCATAATTTGTGGTATTTTACTTGCATCGCCGCCATATAGAGCGTAGGCGGATCTTTCGGGAACTTCTTTTTTCAGTTTCCCGTTGGCATCGAACTAGAAAACAAAAGTTATTAGAAGATTTTAATTATTTTTTAAGTTATAAAAACACAAATTGGAATTAGTAATTTTGTCAGTGAAGGGCAGAAGTCTCCCGAGATCCGAGATCACCCGGGAAGGGAAAATTTACGTATATAATTTTGGAGAAAATAATGTATTTTCTTAGAATACAAAAAATTTAACTATACTCTTTACCTAAGTTATAGTAGGAATGGCAGTGGCTATATATGTGAAAGGATATTAAATAATTTCTCTTTCGAGTTGAGCTAAGGCGGAGGCATTGAAAATTAAAATCTATAGAAGTTCCATATATTCCACCAGAAAGTCATGCGTTTCTCCGTTGCTTAGTCAGCTCTTCAGGCATATTAGATGCAATTTCAGTGTCCAGCCGCTTCAAAATCTTCGCATTTCGAAAATCATTCCCTAAACTTACCCAACCGCAGTTCTTCATGGCGCAGGTGCGAAAGCACTTGCTATTGTCATCCTCGGCATTCTTGTGGGCAATCCAGTCGGTTATGAGAGCTAAAATATAAAAGAAAAAATATAATTAATGACAAGTAAAAAAAGCTTTAAGGTTGACCGGGCCTAACTTTGAATACCCTCCACCATTTGGAATGAATTTGGCAATTCTCAAATACAATAAAATCCATTAAAAATTCTGTTAAAATCTTAAAAATGTGGCTTTTATATTGGGGTCTGCACGACGATATGGGCCTGCATAGGTAACTTTTGTCGTAAGCCATTACAATAATCAAATGCGAAACTTAAAAAAAATCGGTGAATAATGTCGCTAAAATCATCAGAATACCCAATATCGGGAGGAACTGTTATATGGGGGCTATACGAAGACGTGGACCTGTAGAGACAATTTTTTGTCTTCAAATATAAACTTCAAATACCAAATTTGAAACAGTTCCGGTGAATAATGTCGCTGAAATCATCAAAATGCCGAATATCGGGAGGTACCGTTATATGGGGGCTATACGAAGATGTAGACCTGCAAAGACAATTTTCTGTGTTAGGCTGTAGTATCGATTATGAACTTCAAACACCAAACTTGAAAGAATTCATGTGAATAATGCAGCTAAAATCATCCAAATACCGAATATCGGGAGGTACCGTTATATGGGGGCTATATGAAGACGTGGACCTGCACAGACAATTTTCTGTCTTAGGCTGTAGTTCCCATTACGAACTTCAAATATCAAATTTGAAACATTTGCGATGAATAATGGCACTTAAATCACCAAAATACTGAAAAATGGGAGGTACCATTATAAGGAGGCTAAACCATAATGTGGACCTACATGGCCCATTTTCAATACCAAAAGTCCTGCAGACATAATATACATTTGAGAAAAATTTTATCAATCTACTTCATTTCGTTCGGAAGCTAGAGTGATTTCCACAGACGGCCAGACGGACGGACGTCGTAAAATCGACATTGAATTTTATGCTGATGAAGAATATATATACTTTGTGGGGTCTACGACGAATATTTAGGGATGTTACAAACGAAATGACGGAGTTAATATACCCTCTTCTCCAAGGTGTAGGGTATAAACATTCAAGGATTCTATAATTTATATATTATTATGTCGAAACGTAACACTTGGACGACCTGTAGTTCGGGAAATAAAGTCAGTAGTAGTTCACTATTGCCTTTTCCTACAGGGAATTTGAAGATAAATTTGAACATTTAATTCTACGCCTCTTGACTTTTTACTGTGGGTGTTGGGGCCATTTCCAAACAATCCCTGGTCGGCCCTTCTGCCGTCATCAACGAATTCCCTTTGCAACAACTTCAACTTGCCGTCTGTGGCTGTAGCAGTCATCTCTCTTTCTCTCTCTCTCTCTGTTGTTAATAAGCAACCAAAACCATAGACAAATGAAGATATAGACAACGAAAAGTTAGTTTTGTCTTTTTTCTAGGTGACTCTCATCATGTTTTGCATAGTCAACATGCTGATTTGCGCGTTCAACCCACTCGACTTCGAAAACACATTTTATCGTTTTTCAAGAATTATCAAGTGAAATTTCCAAATTGTTCGAAGTCATCACGTTTCTTTTATTTTGGAACAATTTTCAACTGAGAAATATCCTACAGTTTTTGTTATTTTTAACGTTTTAGAATTGAGTGACTTCAATATTCCCACTCAAACCCCTGAAACGATATAGACGACATCTGCTGATCCGTTTTATTTCGAAGATAAACGGTGAGAGCATTTCGTTGTCTATATTTTCATTTGTCTATGCCAAAACTTCTTACCCGTGATGCACCAACGAACACCACTGTATTTCTCGAATTTTGGAGGTAATTGATCTTTTCCCAATTGTTAGTAATACTTGATCCACGAGCAATATTCTCCAAGCTATAAATGACACGAGCAATATTTTACATCAACAGCATGATCTGGCTTCAATAATTAATCGCACCTTTTCACCGAGTTATAATTTAATTATCTTTATTTTACTATAGCTCCACTCCGTTCAAATATTTTATTCGAAAAGAAAGACGCTTTTTCTAATTTACTTTTAAAATTAATTTATTAATGTTCCAATGAACATTTCTCCTTGGTTGCGAAATGCGGAATGACAAATTTATAATTAAGTTCTTCTATACAAACAGTACCTTTTTTCTTGCACTGATGCTTCTTCTGATGACACTACTAGCATGCACTCTACAATTCTCATTCTTTTAAAGTTCACGACTCTCTCTCTCCCTCTCTGTTATGGGACTGTTGTTATTCATGCTCTATTCATTTTTATGCTGGAGACAACGGTTTTTCTACAATTATCATAACAAGAGAAAGAGAGTAACAAATGGGAGAAAGAATAACAAGGAACGGTGTTTATGTGGGGTATGTTCAGTAAAAGCTATGGTGATGCTAATGTAGCGTTTCTCATATAAACAGTGGGGTTGTTGAGGGACACGTCAAACACGATTAAAGTATAAAATAATTTGTTGAAATCAAATTTTTCGGAAAAATGTTGACAAATTGGACATTGCGAATGGACCACTTGAGGGAAATTTTTAAAAAATAAATAATCACCCGAAAAGTGTATTCTTTACTCTTTTAAAAAGTCCGATTGGACTCGAATATTGCTAAAATTAAATTAATCTTACCAGAAAATGTTAGGTAAAGACTATTTGATAAAAGCAAAAAGGATTAAAGCCTAAAGGTGAGAGTACATAAAAGGCATTTTTGACGGGTTTCTTCGTAGAAGTTCAAAGGAGTTTTAGGCTGACTTAGTTCAATTTTGACCATACGCTCCTTTGTTCTTTTACGAAGAAGCCAGTAAAAAACCTCTTCTTTGTGTTCTCATTTTTAGAATGTAAAAAAACACGGATTATTTGTGAAATTTATGGGGAGATTTTTTAAATTAATTTGAATGTCAATTACTAGGTAAGAAAAGTATGTAAATACTGTGTGGACACACCAAAAACAATTGAAACTTTAGAGAAAAAAATGTCACGTATAATTTTTGAAATTTATGGCGAATTTTTCCGAGAAGTATTGCCAAACTTGGACCTTAAGAACGTGAGACTTGAAAAGTATATTATTTACTATTTAAAAAGTCCGCAGGGCACTTGAATATTACTTAAATTAAATTAACCCTTAACTACAGACGTCAAATCATACGAACGTTAGTACAGACCACCGGTAATTTTTACCGGTTATATAAAATACATAAAATGTCTGTAAAACAATTGAAAATTTTTTTTAAATATATATCTGATATATATTTTTTGTATACCAAGATCTTGAAAAAGTTTTAAAATTATTTACTTAAATAAAACAGCACAAGTTTTTTTAAAGCAAAATATATTCAGTTATCCCCGAAATTGAAAAATCGTAAATGCTTACCGGTAAAAAATACCGGTCATCTGTAGTTAAGGGTTAATTTCAACGTGACTTATCAGGATATATTGAGTAGATAACTATGTGGACACGCTAAAAAAACGATCGAATCCTTGGAGTATAAAATAGCACAGATAATTTATGGAGTTCAAGTCAATTTCTTCGGAAAAGTGTTGCCACGTTGGGCCTTAAGAATGGGTCACTTCAAATTATTTTTAAAAAATAAACAATCTTCTGAAAATTGTATTCTTTACTTTTTTCAAAAGTCTGGATGCTACTTGAATATTACTAAAATGAAATTAAACTCTGTGTTATGCCCAAGGAAATATTTATTAGAAAAAATATATGAAGACGTTTGAAACCTTAGAGTATAAAATAGCACATGTAAAGTTCAAGTCAATTTTTTTTCGGAAAAGTGATGCCAAATTGGCACGAGCGAATTAGACCACTTCAAGTAGTTTTTAAAAAGGTATATAATCATCTAAAAGGCGTTTTCTTTATTAAAAGTTCGATGGGACTCGAATATTACTAAAATTAAGTTAATATCTACTTCAGATACAACAAAATATTGACACTTCGCGTATTTGTAAAGATCAAGGGTTATAAATGGACGAGGTTGGTTGCATACTATTCTTAGAGCTTCATTTTGAGCTCTCTGGAGCATTTTTAATGAATTAATAAGTTTAAATCCGTAGTTTAACCCATAAGTTAAAATCCGTCAAAATCAAAAAGGTTCCTTTCTAACTATACTTTTTAATAATCCGTGGGATTCGAATGTTACTATTTTTTATGACAAGTGTATATAATATTACTAAGTCCGAATGAAAAAATTCCGATGAGACTCGAATATTACTAAATTTTATCTTCATGCCACTCACCAGGAAATATTTGGAAGCAAGGTATGAAAATATTACAATATTGCGTCTATTTATATTCCATGACAGTAGATTGCTATGATATCCTCTAAATAAGTAGTGCGGTAGGTAGATTTCATTATCATATAACGCAATACAATATAACAAGATGTCAAGTAAATCAAAAATTTAGATTTCTATGTAACTAAACTTTTTAAAAATCCGTTAGATTCGAATATTACTTTTTGTGAATTGTATAAAAAATTAGCCTTATATTACTTTTTTTAAAGAAGTCCCATGAAATTCGAATACAACTAAGTCTGAATTGAATTTCCATTCCTTAAATATAATGCTTTGGTTAACAATAAATTTTTCAAAATACCCCCTGGCAAGAAATAGATACAAGTGGGGAAACTCCTAATGTTATTCTCAGCATTTAGTCCAAATGAGGCTGAAATCATTACAAAATCCTAGAAACTTCTTCAAATTTGTTAACTCCAAAGAGAAAGCGCAGAAATTAGCCTGCAGCATGAAAATCGGTAGTAAAGAGTTAATTTGCCGACTTTTTTCCGTCTAACACCTAAATAGTGTAAATTCCTAATTCGGTACTCATCATATCCACGTCAATATTACTAGGCATAAAATAATTTAGATTTCAGAATTCTTTAAAAAATCCGCTGAAATTCAAATTTTACTAAAAAAATGTATTTTTGATCAAAAATTACTACAAATTGGATATTTATTTTCCTCTCTCCGTCTCCAGCGCAAATAATGTTGTCAAGAGATTCTTTTGAAAAAGTCCGAGGAGTTTTTATTTGCAAATTATATCACTTACCCTTATTTCCACCATGTTGCTTTACGCAATCTCCAAAGACTTTCTTTACCTCACCACCTGGACATATATCAACCTATATTAGATAAAGAATTGAACACATTACTAACAAAAATTAATAATTTTGTTTACAAACTTACAAGGCCATGACAGCATCCGGCAACAATGAATAACAAAATTCCGATCGTCTTCATGGTGCACCCTCAAGTTTCAGACTACAACTGATAGTCGTTTAAATTTCTAATTTGAATATATAAACATCCTTAGTAGAAGTCTGTTATGAAGTCTATATCTCAAATTTATTACCAACACGTTTGTATTCTAGTCATGTCCCAAAATATTGCAATTAATATAAAATATTGAAGCCGGTTTCTATACTCTGAAAAAAGAATCTAGAGCAGTTGAAAATTGCATCAAAAATTCATCTCTACGATATACACATGAAGTAATAGAATTAAATACCGAGAGCGCCATTAAAAAGGTAAGCAAACTTAAATAATGAGAGATTTTAAGCGAGAAAAGAGAGGGAGAGAGAGAAAGATCAATTGTTATCAAGATAATAGAAAATCAATCGAAAACCTGTGTGTACAAAATACTTTGTACATACTCTTCATTGCGGGTGAGGTCCTGGGGAAATCTAAGAACTAAATATTCCAAAAAATTTTTTTCAATTATTCAGCTCTGCGCTGTCGCATACGAAAATGTGTAAGACAATAAAGATGATGATCCACACACACGATACGCTTAGTAGATATGCAAGACCACTTGAAAGAAATGACAAGCAGCCCAGCAATGTTCTCCATTCAATATTAGAATATATAAAAATAATTGTGTGGCTGCGATTAGGTTAAGTTAGTTTTAGTAGTACTTATGAAACATATTTTTAAATAAAAACTATAATTGAATCTACACCCAAACCATTTCTTTATAATTTTAAATTGGTCCTTCGAGCTAGATAGAAAATTGAATTGAGCCTCTGAACCTTTTCCGTATAGAAAAGCTGTCGATAACAACTTTTCCGTATAGAAAAGTTGTCGATAACAACTTTTCCGTATAGAAAAGTTGTCGATAACAACTTTTCCGTATAGAAAAGTTGTCGATAACAACTTTTCCGTATAGAAAAGTTGTCGATAACAACTTTTCCGTATAGAAAAGTTGTCGATAACAACTTTTCCGTATAGAAAAGTTGTCGATAACAACTTTTCCGTATAGAAAAGTTGTCGATAACAACTTTTCCGTATAGAAAAGTTGTCGATAACCACTTTTCCGTATAGAAAAGTTGTCGATAATAACTTTTCCGTATAGAAAAGTTGTCGATAACCACTTTTTCGTATAGAAAAGTTGTCGATAACAACTTTTTCGTATAGAAAAGTTGTCGATAATAACTTTTCCGTATAGAAAAGTTGTCGATAATAACTTTTCCGTATAGAAAAGTTGTCGATAATAACTTTTCCGTATAGAAAAGTTGTCGATAACAACTTTTCCGTATAGAAAAGTCGTCGATAGCAACTTTTATGCATAAAAATGTTGTCGATAACAACTTTTCTATAGAGAAAAGTTGTCGATAACAGCTTTTCCATAGGGAAAAGTTGTCGATAACAACTTTTCCATATAGAATAGCTTTCGATAATTGCTTTTCCATAGAGAAAAGTTGTCGATAACAACTTTTCCGTATAGAAAAGTTGTCGATAACAACTTTTCCGTATAGAAAAGTTGTCGATAACAACTTTTCCGTATAGAAAAGTCGTCGATAGCAACTTTTATGCATAAAAATGTTGTCGATAACAACTTTTCTACAGAAAAAAGTTGTCGATAACAGCTTTTCCATAGGGAAAAGTTGTCGATAACAACTTTTCCTTATAGAATAGCTTTCGATAATTGCTTTTCCATAGAGAATAGTTGTCGATAACAACTTTTCTATGGAGAAAGGGTGTCGATAACAATTGTTCTATAAAGAAAAGTTTTCGATAACAGTTTTTCTATAGAGAAAAGTTGTCGATAACAACTTTTCTATGGAGAAAAGTTGTCGATAACAACTTTTCTATGGAGAAAAGTTGTCGATAACAACTTTTCTATGGAGAAAAGTTGTCGATAACAACTTTTCTATGGAGAAAAGGTGTCGATAACAACTATTCTGTACAGAAAACATGTCGATTACAACTATTCTGTACAGAAAAGTTGTCGATAACAACTTTTCCGTATAGGGAAATGCGGTCGATAATAAAAATTTTGTATTATTTATTTAAATAAATGAAATAATAAAGTAACATATTCGGCTTCTTTATTGTAATTATTAACATCAAAATGACACAATTTTATACGTTGAGGACCAAACCGCAATGCTTGCAATGTTCTATAACGCATCTCGACCAATTTTCGCCGTTGTGACATCTAAAAATTGAATATTTAATGAATTTCAATTCCTAAAATCAATATCCCCATTTACTTACACATTCTTCTCGTAGTGCATTAGGCCTCTGCAGGCTTGAACAGCCTGATGTATGGCTGCAACCTTGTCCACATCACCGCCACTTAAGATGTGGGCCAGACCCACAGAAACATCGTCATTAATCGTACCCTCTCTATTGAGCTTTGGATAAAGAATGAAATCAACTATTTATTTTTTACAAAACACAAACTCCTCACTCACAACTCCACACTTCCTCATGGTACAGGCCCGAAAACATTTCTCATTTTCATTATCGGTTGGTTTGAATTCCTGCCAATTGGCAATGAATGCCGTGTCGCCGCCATGTTCGAATAAACATTCTTCATAGACCGTGTGGAAATATTCACCCAGGCAATTGTAATTCTACCGAAGATTTATAAGAAATTTAATTTGAATTTCATTTTTTAAAGGAGAATTGACTTACAAAACCGCAAGAAACTGCCAGACCGCATACTAGAATTATTAACACTTTCATTGCACAAAACAATATTCAACCTGGAGTACACTTTCCATAGCTTATATACCGAAGCTGAAAAAGTTCTAATAAATTTAATTATCACATACCTGCTAATATGACAGTTATTAATTGGCAAATATGCGATCCAAGGACTAAAGAAGTCCAACTGGATTATAAATCATTGTGTTGAGAGGAAAGATTTATTAGAAAGGAGTAAAATTAGCGTCGGTCGAAAACAAAGAATTTGTCGATAAAAATTTCTCTGTATAGAAAAGTTGTCGATAACAATTTTCCGCAAAGAAAAGTAGTCGATAACAACTATTCAATATAGAAAATTTGCCGACAACAATAATTCTATTTAGAAAAGTTGTCGGTAACATCTCTTACGCATAGAAAAGTCGTCGATAATAAATTTTCTGCATAGAAAATTTGTCGATAACAGCTATTCTGAATTGAAAAGTTGTCGATAACAACTATTCTGTATAGAAAAGTTGTCGATAACAACTTTTCGGCATAGAAAAGTTGTCGATAACAATTTTCCGGTATAGAAAAGTTGTCGACAATAACTTTTTGTTGCAGAAAAGTTGTCGATAATAACTTTTCGTTGCAGAAAAGTTGTCGATAACAACTATTCTGTATAGAAAAGTTGTCGATAACAACTATTCTGTATAGAAAAGTTGTCGATAACAACTATTCTGTATAGAAAAGTTGTCGATAACAACTGTTCTGTATAGAAAAGTTGTCGATAACAACTGTTCTGTATAGAAAAGTTGTCGATAACAACTTTTCCGCATAGAAAAGTTGTCGATAACAACTTTTCCGCATAGAAAAGTTGTCGATAACAACTTTTCCGCATAGAAAAGTTGTCGATAACAACTTTTCCGCATAGAAAAGTTGTCGATAACAACTTTTCCGCATAGAAAAGTTGTCGATAACAACTTTTCCGCATAGAAAAGTTGTCGATAACAACTTTTCCGCATAGAAAAGTTGTCGATAACAACTTTTCCGCATAGAAATGTTGTCGATAACAACTTTTCCGCATAGAAAAGTTGTCGATAACAACTTTTCCGCATTGAAAAGTTGTCGATAACAACTTTTCCGCATTGAAAAGTTGTCGATAACAACTTTTCCGCATAGAAAAGTTGTCGATAACAACTTTTCCGCATAGAAAAGTTGTCGATAACAACTATTCTATGTAGAAAAGTTGTCGACAACAACTATTCTATACAGAAAAGTTGTCGATAACAACTATTCTATAAAGGAAAGTTGTCGATAACAACTATTCTATATAGGAAAGTTGTCGATAGCAACTATTCTATATAGGAAAGTTGTCGATAGCAACTATTCTATATAGGAAAGTTGTCGATAACACCTGTTCTATATAGAAAAGTTGTCAATGACAATTATTCTATATAGAAAAGTTGTCAATGACAATTATTCTATACAGAAAAGTTGTCGATAACAACTATTCTATATAGAAAAGTTGTCGATAACAACTATTATCTTTAAAAAATGTTGTCAATAACAACTATTTTATATAGAAAATTTGTCGATAACAACTATTCTATATAGAAAAGTTGTCGATAACAACTATTCTATATAGAAAAGTTGTCGATAACAACTATTCTATATAGAAAAGTTGTCGATAACAACTATTCTATATAGAAAAGTTGTCGATAACAACTATTCTATATAGAAAAGTTGTCGATAACAACTATTCTATATAGAAAAGTTGTCGATAACAACTATTCTATATAGAAAAGTTGTCGATAACAACTATTCTATATAGAAAAGTTGTCGATAACAACTATTCTATATAGAAAAGTTGTCCATAACAACTATTCTATATAGAAAAGTTGTCGATAACAACTATTCTATATAGAAAAGTTGTCGATAACAACTATTCTATATAGAAAAGTTGTCGATAACAACTATTCTATATAGAAAAGTTGTCGATAACAACTATTCTATATAGAAAAGTTGTCGATAACAACTATTCTGTATAGAAAAGTTGTCGATAACAACTATTCTATATAGAAAAGTTTTCGATAACACCTGTTCTATATAGAAAAGTTGTCAATAACAATTATTCTATACAGAAAAGTTGTCGATAACAACTATTCTATATAGAAAAGTTGTCGATAACAACTATTCTATATAGAAAAGTTGTCGATAACAACTTTTCCTTATAGAAAAGTTGTCGATAACAACTTTTCCTTATAGAAAAGTTGTCGATAACAACTTTTCCTTATAGAAAAGTTGTCGATAACAACTTTTGCGTATAGAAAAGTTGTCGATAACATCTTTTCCGTATAGAAAAGTTGTCGATAACAACTATTCTATACAGAAAAGTTGTCGATAACAACTTTTCCGCATTGAAAAGTTGTCGATAACAACTTTTCCGCATTGAAAAGTTGTCGATAACAACTTTTCCGCATTGAAAAGTTGTCGATAACAACTTTTCTGCATAGAAAAGTTGTCGATAACAACTTTTCCGCATTGAAAAGTTGTCGATAACAACTTTTCCGCATTGAAAAGTTGTCGATAACAACTTTTCCGCATTGAAAAGTTGTCGATAACAACTTTTCCGCATTGAAAAGTTGTCGATAACAACTTTTCCGCATTGAAAAGTTGTCGATAACAACTTTTCTGCATAGAAAAGTTGTCGATAACAACTTTTCTGCTCCCTATAATGCCACTTAAACTCCCTAAATTAAATACATTCTACTTCGATTTCCATTAGATCCTTTATTAAAGCTTCAACTCCAAACCACAACGTTTACACTGTTCAGTTATGCACCTAGACCAATTTTCGGTGTTTTCACATCTATAAATGTAAACGGATTAAAAATAGAATAAATCTCTACAAATGTTTGCTTTGTTTACATATTATCTCCATATTGCATTAGATTTCTACAGGCTCGGGCCGCCTGTTCTATGGATGGCACTTTGCTTCGATTGCCACCGCTTAACATTATGGCTAGGCCCAGGGGAACATCCTCTTTAATTTTTGCCTCCTCATCCAACTGCAAGAAAATGTTTATTCACAAATAGAATGGTACCACGTTGGGCCTGATCCGACTTACAAAGTCACATTTTCTTAGAACACATGCCCGGAAACACTTTTCGTTGGTATCCACAGATTTTCGAAATCCAGCCCAATTTGTTGTGTAGGCTAACAAAAAAAGCAGATTATTTTTGTAATGACTTTTTGAGGGATTGAAACACCTACCCTTATTGCCGCCATGCTCAAACGTGCATTCATCAAAAGCTGTACCCAAATATTTGTCCAGGCACCTGGGATCCTGAAGGAGAATTGATTGTTAATTCCATACTTTGGAAGGATTTAAGATTTTCTGAACTTACAAAACAATAGCAAATGGTGCAGATTGCCAACAAGGCTAGAATTACGGCCTGCATTCTTGGTTAAATTAAACTTAGATCTGAGAAATTTCTTGTCTTTTTATATAATTTTACAATTCGTTTTTAGGCTGAACCAATTAACCTCCTTTAACTGTTTTTTTGATTACCATAAATTTGCCATAAAAATTCTAGAACGGTATATTTTAATCATATTCAAAATATTCATTTATGCGCAACAATTTGTTTCAGCACAACAACAGCATTTCTTATAAAGACAACAATAACTCACTACAGGACAGTGGTCGATAACAAAATGTATCTCTTGAAATTGCGTTGATAAATAGGGTTCATGGAAAAATTGTCGATAATGAAATTAATCTACGGAAAAGTCTGTTGTTTTCTGTATAGGAAAGTTGTCGATAACTACTTTTCAGTATAGGAAAGTTGTCGATAACAACTTCTCCGCATAGGAAAGTTGTAGATAACAACTATTCTATACAGAATAGTTGTTATCGACGACTTTTCTATACAGAATAGTTGTTATCGACAACTTTTCTATACAGAATAGTTGTTATCGACAACTTTTCTATACAGAATAGTAGTTATCGACAACTTTTCTATACAGAATAGTTGTTATCGACAACTTTTCTATACAGAATAGTTGTTATCGACAACTTTTCTATACAGAATAGTTGTTATCGACAACTTTTCTATACAGAATAGTTGTTATCGACAACTTTTCTATACAGAATAGTTGTTATCGACAACTTTTCTATACAGAATAGTTGTTATCGACAACTTTTCTATACAGAATAGTTGTTATCGACAACTTTTCTATACAGAATAGTTGTTATCGACAACTTTTCTATACAGAATAGTTGTTATCGACAACTTTTCTATACAGAATAGTTGTTATCGACAACTTTTCTATACAGAATAGTTGTTATCGACAACTTTTCTATACAGAATAGTTGTTATCGACAACTTTTCTATACAGAATAGTTGTTATCGACAACTTTTCTATACAGAATAGTTGTTATCGACAACTTTTCTATACAGAATAGTTGTTATCGACAACTTTTCTATACAGAATAGTTGATATCGACAACTTTTCTATGCAGAACAGTTGTTATCGAAAAGTTTTCTATGCGGAAAAGTTGTTATCGACAACTTTTCTATGCAGAACAATTGTTATCGAAAAGTTTTCTATGCGGAAAAGTTGTTATCGACAACTTTTCTATGCAGAACAGTTGTTATCGACAACTTTTCTATGCAGTACAATTGTTATCGACAACTTTTCTATGCAGAACAATTGTTATCGACAACTTTTCTATGCAGAACAATTGTTATCGACAACTTGTCTATACAGAACAGTTGTTATCGACAACTTTTCTATGCAGAACAGTTGTTATCGACAACTTTCCTATGCAGAACTGTTGTTATTGACAACTTTTCTATGCAGAACAGTTGTTATCGACAACTTTTTTATGCAGAACAGTTGTTATCGACAACTTTTCTATGCAGTACAATTGTTATCGACAACTTTTCTATGCAGAACAATTGTTATCGACAACTTTTCTATGCAGAACAGTTGTTATCGACAACTTGTCTATGCAGAACAGTTGTTATCGACAACTTTTCTATGCAGAACAGTTGTTATCGACAACTTTCCTATGCAGAACTGTTGTTATCGACAACTTTTCTATGCAGAACAGTTGTTATCGACAACTTTTCTATGCAGAACAGTTGTTATCGACAACTTTTTTATGCAGAACAGTTGTTATCGAAAAGTTTTCTATGCGGAAAAGTTGTTATCGACAACTTTTCTATGCGGAATAGTTGTTATCGACAACTTTTCTATGCGGAAAAGTTGTTATCGACAACTTTTCTATGCGGAAAAATTGTTATCGGCAACTTTCCATGCGGAAATATTGATATCGACAACTTTTCCATGCGGAAATATTGTTATCGACGACTTTTCTGTCCAGAAAAGAAGTTATCGATACCGTGTTTTGCTGAATTGTTGTTGTAGACTTACCTTTTGTTTGGAAAAGTTGGAGTCCACTCCGCTCCCTATTTTGAAAATTATTATAAGTAGCATTAAATATAACATTTTCTATTTTAGCCTCCTAACTTATATTTTATTTTACTTGTTTTTGTGTTTTTTTTTTTTTTTCTTTGTTTTCTTACATCAAATCTCATTGCAAATAAATAAAACAATAATGAGTTTTGCACATTTCCGAAGTGCACATGAAAAAGTCCTCGGCCTTTTGACATCTACCCATGGTGGCATGAGGTATATTCTGCAAACACATGTTGGCAACATTTTCAATAATTTTGATTTCACTGATTTGACCGGTGCTAAAGTTCTCGGCCATTTCGAAGGCGCTGTTCCTCTTAAAGTTGCCATTTTCATCCATCTATGGGGAAAAATTAAAAAAAAAAATCCCTTGCTGAGTATTTATGGTTAAGGTTTCAAGAACATATCCTTGAATTATTTTTTTTTTTTTTATAAAAAATTTTGAAAAAAAAAACCGAAATCAAAAAATATTGATCCCATTGACTTTATTATAAATAACCCCATTTTTCTTTAAATTATTTAAAAAAAAAAATGTTCTCACCATATTACATTCGGTTAAAACACAGGCCCGAAAACATTTCGCCAATTCATTTTGGGCCGGTTTTTGATCAATAAAATCCGTGACATCAGCTGGAAAAATATTTAAAAAAAAGTTAGAAAAAATTGAAAATATTTTAATATTTTTTATATTTTTCATATTTTACTTCCTCATATTTACCTTTGGATACCCCCGCTTCCTCCATACATTGTTTGTAAACAGTTTTCAAGCGATCGCCAATGCAGAGGGGCTATGGAATTGAAAACAAAAATATTAAATTAAATTTGAATAAAATAACATTTCAAATAAAAACGGCCATAAAGGAATTATTTGAAGTCCGGAACCTGCAGACCCACATCTTCACATAGCCCCCATATAATTGTACCTCCCGATTTTCGTTATTTTGAAGATTTATGTCACACTTTTTATCGGAATTGCTTCAAATTTCGCATTTGAAGTTTCTAATGAGTACTGCAACCTAAGGCAAAAAATTGTCCCCTGGTATTTTGGGTTCGCAATGGGTAATATATCCTATGGCAGAAAATTGCGTATATATAGGTCCACACTTCATACATGTTTGCCATATAACTGTACCTCCCGATATTCGGTATTTTGGTGATTTAAACGACAATCTCTTACAGATTAAACTCAAACTTGGTATTTAAAGTGCGTAATAGGCACCGTCTTCTCTGGCAGATAATTGGCTGTAAAGGACCATGGTTTCGTGTGGAACCCAAATAACTGTACCCCCAATATTCAATATTTGGACGATTTAAGCCATATTTTCGAAAGGAATTATTTCAATATTGGTATTTGAAGTTCCTAATGGGTACTGCAGTCTATGACAAAAAATTACCCATACAGGTCCATATCTTCGTATAGCCCCTCATATAACGGTACCTCCCAATATTCGGTTTTTTGATGATTTATGCCACTTATTTCACCAGAGTTGTTTAAAATTTGGTATTTGGAGTTCGCAATGGGTACCACCTCCACTGACAAAAAATTGCCCACACAGGTCCACATCTTCTTATAGCCCCTATATAGCTGTACCTCCCGATATTCGGAATTTTGATGATATTAGCTATATTTTTTAACAGAATTACCTCAAACTTGATATTTGGAGTTCGCAATGGGTACTACTTCCACTGACGAAAAATTGCCCATACAGGTCCACATATTCGTATAGCCCCCATGTAACTGTACCTCCCGATATTCGGTATTTTGATGATTTTTGAGACATTTTTCACTGAAATTGTTTCAAATTTCGTACTTAAAGTTCGTAATGGGTATTGCAGCCTGTGACAGAAAATTGTGTATGCAGGTCCAGGGCATTGTATAACCCCCACATTACTGTACCTCAACCTTCTCTGGCGGATAAATGGAATTTTTTAATTATTTATCTAAGACATATTCGAACTTATTTTTAATTATTTTTTTAATTGTTTGTTATTTATTTTTTAAATGTTAATTTGTTTGTGTTTTTTTATTCTTAATTATTATTTATTTATTTTTTTTATTTTATATTATTTTTAATTATTTATTTTTTTATTAATTCATTATTTTTTCTAATATTTTTCTCTTTTTTTTATATTTATAAAAATAATAAATAAATAAAAATAATAAATAAATAAAAATAATAAATAAATAACAATTATAAATAAATAAAAATAATAATTAAAAAATAAACGCAAATAAATGAACTCATGCAAAATAAATAAATAAAAGTTAAAAAAATAATAACAATTAAAAAAGGCAGCTAATTTAGTCCAGGCCGAAATTTTAATTATTTAAATTCAGTTTCAGTTGTTACGATTTTCTTCATTTTTTTTTTTTTTTTTTTTTTTTTTGTTATTTTTCTATTATTATTAATTAATTTTTTGCTGGTTATTATTTTTTTTAAATTGTTATTTATTTATTGTTTTTGTTAATTTTTAATTTTTATTCACTTATTATTTTTATTTATTTATTTACTTTTATTTATTTCTGTTTATTAATTTATTATTTTTTCAAATATTTTTATGTCTAATTAATAATTTTTTTGCATAAAATTATTTCATATTTTATTTATTATTTTTATTTATATATTATTTGCATTTATTTATTATTCTTATACATTATTTATTTTTATTCATTTATTATTTTTATTTATAATTTTATTTATTTTTTCTAATATTTTTATGTCAATTTTCATAGGGGTCTTCGAGAATAAGAAACCATCTTATCGTCCTTTCCAAAAAAATATAATTTTAATATTTTTTTTTATTTTTTGTTATTTATTATTTTTATTTATTTATTATTCTTTTTCATTTATTATTTATATTTATATGATTTTTATTTTTTCTAATAAATTTATGTCAACTTTCATATGGGCCTTTGAGAATAAGTAACTATCCTATCCCCCATTATTTTTTTATGTATTTAATTTATTTATTAGCTATATTTATTTATTATTTTTATTTATTCATGATTTTTATTTATTTATAATTTATATATATATATTTATTTTTTTATCAATTTATTATTTTTATTTATTTTTCTATTTTTATTAATTTATTATTTTTATTTATTTAATATTTTATTTATTTATTATTCTTATTTACTTATTATTTTTATTTATTTTATTATTTATTAATTATTTTTTTTAACATTTTTATTTGAACTTCCGCAAGGATCTTCGAGAATAAGAAACTATCTTATTCCCCTTTCCAAAAAAATATAATTTTTATTTATTTATTAAGAGTTCATTTATTTCTGTTCATTTTTCTTCATTTATTTATTATTTTTGTTTATTTATTATTGTTACTTATTTATTATTTTTTTATTATTTTTTATATTTTATCTATTTATTATTTTTTCTAATATTTTTATTTCAACTTTCATAGGGGCTTTCGAGAATAATAAATTATCTTATCCCCCCATTCCAAAAAAAAAATTTATTTGTTTACTTTATTTATTATCTCTATTTATATATTATCTCTATTTATTATTTTTATTTGTTTATTATTTGTTAATAATTTATATATATATATATATATATATATATATATATTTATTTTTTATCAATTTACTATTTTTATTTATTCATTATTTTTTTATTATTAATTAATTAATTTTTTTTAACATTTTTATTTGAACTTCCGTAGGGATCTTCGAGAATAAGAAACTATCTTATCCCCCTTTCCAAAAAAATATATAATTTTATTTTTATTTATTATGTGTTCATTTATTTGTGTTTATTTTTCTTCATTTATTTATTATTTTTAAATATTTATTTTTTATTATATTTATTTTTTTATTAATTTATTATTTTTTCTAATATTTTTATGTCACCTTTCATAATAAGTAATAATCTCCCTTTCCCAAAAATATATATTACTGTTATTAATTTTTTATGTGTTCATTTATTTCAGTTTATTTTTCTTTTTTTATTTTTAAATTATTTTTTATCTATTAACTTTTTATTTATAAATATTTTTATTTTTATTTATTTATTATTTTTATTTATTTATTTGTTGTTACTTTATTATTTTTTCTAATATTATTATTTCAACATCCTTAGGGGTCTTCGAGAATAGGAAACTATCTTATTCCCCATATCCAAAAAAAAATATTTTTAAGCCAATTCACCGTTAATCACCAATATTTTCCTATTAAAAAACATTTCTTTTGACCGTTTTTGTTTTCGAATTTTTATTCCAATTTACCGTAAAATCCAATTGAGCATAGCACACGACCGGATATAGCAACAAAATCACATAGAGTTTCATTTTGATTTATTTTTTATTTCAGGTTTTCCTTTCTTACAATTTTGACAACCGCAAACGTTTTTCAATATTGTCACCCTCCAAAAAAAGTGAAACCGAAAAATCCCAAAGCGCCTCCTTTATAAAGACTTGGCGCTCACAGTGCGATTGTGATTTTCATTTCACTTCCAAAAAAAGTGATATTCACTTTTAAAAAACCGTAACAAATTGTATTTGTAATTACACAGTGCTACAAGAATATAGATACTTGGGTGGCACATTTTCAAAACATACCTACTCTACGTTACAAGAACTCTTGTCAGTTTACCTTGCCAATCTTAGGAAAAAAAATATTTTTTGTTATTTAATTTGGCTCATGGTCAGCAGATAGAAAAAACAATAAATTTTGTTTCATATTTTTATTTCTAATATTTCGATCGGCAACGACGATCATCATCAATATTGAAATTTATTTATATTCTCAAAACAATTTACTTCAACACAACACTCTTCAAAGATTTTCTTAATCTTTAATATTTAAAAAAAAAAAATCAAGTTTTTAAAAATAAAATAAGCCGTTGATAATTTTTGAAAGGTTTTTAACAATTTCTTGAAAAAATCCAACAAAAAATCCGATTTTCCTGAAAAATCCTTAAAAATATTTTAAAACCATCTATAAATTATGCCGCTGATAATTTTTCAAAATTAATTACAGGAGTTTAAAATATTTTTACCAATTTTTCAATATGTCAAAAAAATTTGATTTTCCTAAAAAAAAATTTCAAAACTTCCCATAAAAAATTTGCTGAAGTATTACATCTCTGACAATTTTTTGAATATAACTACAGGGTTTCGAAATGTCGCTGAAAATTTTAAAAAATTAATAACTGGGTTATAAATTATTTTTACCATTTTTTTTTTTAAATGTTAATAAAAGTTTTATTTTCCTAAAAAATATTTCAAAAATTTACCGTTGAAAAATATTCCGAGGTATAAGTCTCTGACAATTTTTACAAGTTTTTAAAATGTTTTTAATAGTTTAAAATTTTTGAAAATTTATTACAGGTTCTTAAAACGTTATTAACAATTATTAAAAAAATCAAATTTTCCAAAAAAAAAACTCCTTAAAAAATCAAAAAAAAATCAATTACAAAATATATTCCGAAATATTTTTAAAAATTATTTACAGGGGTTTAAAATATTGTTGACAATTAAAAAAAAAACATAATAATTAAAAAACCAGATTTTCCCTAAAAAAATATTTCAAAAATCCTCAATTAAAGAATATATGAAGTATTATGTCAGTGATTATTTTTAAAAATTAGTTACGGGGTTTTCAAATAAAAAATAATTAAAATAAAAAGTAGAAAATAAAATTTTAAAAATGTTAATAAAAAATCCAATGTTCCTAAAAACAACCCTAAACAAATATTTCTAAAATCCGAAATTGAAAAATGAACAGAAATATATCATTTTTACAAATTAATTTCAGGTTTTAAAAATGTTTTTACCCATTTTTAAAAAAAATTAAATATAAGATCAGATTTTTCTTAAAAAATTTTCAAAAATCCTCCATTGAAAAATTCACTAAAATATTAAGTCTCGGACAATTTATTACACATTTTTAAAATTTTGTTAACAATTAAAAAAATATAATAAAAATTCTGATTTTCCTTAAAAATATTTCAAAAATCCACCATTGGAGAATATTTCGAGGTATTAAGTCTCTGATAATTTTAGGTTTACAAAACGTTTTTAACAACTTTTTAAAAAATCAAATAACAAATCTGATTTTCTTAAAAAAATCCTCCATTGAAAAACATTCTGAATTATATTCTGACAATTTTCTTAAAAAGATGTTCTCAAAAATATTCTAAAATCCCCAATTACAACCTTTTCAGACCTTAAAAAATATGTCTTTAAAAAAATATTTTTTTAAAGAAAAAACTCTGGGGGCCTTGGAGTTGCTTTCAAAACAAATTTTATCAATAAGTTCTCCCTCCATGATCCGGTAATACTATTTTTTCTTCAAAATCACAAACTTATTCAAAATGGTGATAAAAAAAATATTATTTTGTAGCCCTGTGTCATTGTCGATTTTGAAATATTTTAACGATGTAATGCAAAAGGTAAATAAATGCCAATCCAATGTGTGTTTTAAATTTTCTCAGTTCAAAAAGTTCATTAACCCCTTGTCAAATAATAATTAATAATTGTTGTTGGCGTTCTTAATTTAAAGTATTATATAGTAATTTATAGTTTTTAATTAATAATACAAATAATCAGATTAAATATTATATTTCAAAAAATTCAAAATTAAATAAATCACAACGAAAACATATTTTTTTTCTTTTGAATTATTTTTTTCAACCTTTATCAAATTTCCATTACAAAATTTAAGCAATTAAGGTCACTGATCCATATGAAATATTTTTGGATACACTTCATCAGGCCCAGTAACGTCACGAAAAATAAAAAAAAAACAAATAAAACACTTTAATTTCCATTGCAATGACCTTAAAAAAACACACACATAAGGGGGATTGTTTTAATTTTAGCAGCTACTTTTTAGAAAATCATTTTTGAGGGCACCCTTGGCCCATCTCTGGGCGGAACATACATTTATCCTTGAAAAATATGTTAAAAAAGTTCATATTCGGAACACGCGGTGAGATAAAACAACTGCAACAAAATCAAACGCAATAATTTTTACATTTTTTTTTTTTCAAAATTTTATTGAATGAAAGCAAAAAATGCCCGAAATTGCATCAAACTTTAGAATAAGTTTAGATTTCTTCGAATTGTTCACCTTTGGCACGAATTATGGCCTTCAAACGGCCAATAAAACCGACACACGCTGCCCGAATGTTGCTCTGCGGTATTTTGGCCCATTCCCGGAGAAGCGCTTGCTTGAGGTGATCGACACTTTGGTTGTTTTTTAGTGCCAACCTTGCTTTCCAAAATACTGCAGACACAGTAGGCCAACGGATTGGTATCCGAAGATTTTGGATTCTTGGGTGGCACGTGCTGAGTGCGATGGGGCTGAGTCCTCTTGGAATGTCCAAGTTTTGCGGACAAAATGTTTGCGTGCCCAAGGCTTTAATACACCCTCCAGAATATGTTCGCAATAATATAATAATATTCCGATGCCAGGTCGATTAATACGAGCGGAGAGCGACCATCGGCAAACTGCTGGACAACGAATGTTTTCTCATCAGAGATCGGAGAAAACCAAATTCGGCAGTTCACCACTTTCAGCCAAGCGAAGAAACTCTTTAGCTCTTTTAAGTATATTTTCTTTCTCTTTTTCAATGGCTTTGCCCCGAGCTCATTTTTCAATATTTGCCGAATGGAATATTGCGATATGATCGGCTCACGAACCATTTTCGGCCCTGCGACGCGGGTTTCGATCAAGTCGCTTCATTACTTTTCGAACCATTTCTGTTGATGTTGCTGTTTTCTTCCGACCACTTCATTGAAGTCGTGCTACGCTACCAGTATCACGGTTGCAGTTTTTTCATCTCACCCTGTATATGTCTAGCATAAAATCCCTTGTCTGAAAACCCCATTATTTCTCCTTGCAAAAATATTCCTTCAATCAATCAATGATTGGTCCTTGAAAATATTCGGAAATAATCAAAAAAGCACTCCTTTTTGTCCTTGAAAAATCCACGTTTATTCTCTTTTTGTCCTTAGTTTTTTTCCCTTTTTGTCCTTGAAAATATCCCTAAAAAAATCCTCGTTTATTTTTTTTTGTCCTTGAAAAATATTTTGAAAAAATCATTCTTTTTTGTCCTTGAAAAAAATTCTGAAAAATTCAAGAAATTATTTTCTTTTTGTCCTTGAAAAATATTCTGAAAAAATCAAGAAAAAATTCTCTTTCCGTTCTTTAAATATATTCTGAAAAATAATTCAAGAAATTCTCTTGTTGTTCTCGAAAAATATTCTTTAAAAATCCACGTTTGAAAAATATTCTTTAAAGAAATCCACGTTTGAAAAATATTCTTTAAAGAAATCCACGTTTGAAAAATATTATTTAAAAATCCACGTTTGAAAAATATTTTTTAAAAATCCACGTTTGAAAAATATTTTTTAAAAATCCACGTTCGGAAAATATTCTTTAAAAATCCACGTTCGGAAAATATTCTTTAAAAATCCACGTTTGAAAAATTTTCTTTAAAAATCCACGTTTGAAAAATATTTTTTAAAAATCCACGTTTGAAAAATATTTTTTAAAAATCCACGTTTGAAAAATATTTTTTAAAAATCCACGTTTGAAAAATATTTTTTAAAAATCCACGTTTGAAAAATATTTTTTAAAAATTCACGTTTGAAAAATATTTTTTAAAAATCCACGTTCGGAAAATATTCTTTAAAAATCCACGTTTGAAAAATATTTTTTAAAAATCCACGTTCGGAAAATATTCTTTAAAAATCCACGGTCGGAAAATATTCTTTAAAAATCCACAAATATCCTTAAAAAAATCCACGTTTGAAAAATATTCTTTAAAAATCCACGTTTGAAAAATATTCTTTAAAAAATCCACGTTTGAAAAATATTTTTTAAAAAATCCACGTTCGAAAAATATTCTTTAAAAAATCCACGTTTGAAAAATATTCTTAAAAATCCACGTTTGAAAAATATTCTTTAAAAATCCACGTTTGAAAAATATTCTTTAAAAATCCACGTTCGGAAAATATTCTTTAAAAATCAACGTTCGGAAAATATTCTTTAAAAATTCAAGTTTGAAAAATATTTTTTAAAAATCCACGTTTGAAAAATATTTTTTAAAAATCCACGTTTGAAAAATATTTTTTAAAAATCCACGTTTGAAAAATATTCTTTAAAAATCCACGTTTGAAAAATATTCTTTAAAAATCCACGTTTGAAGAATATTCTTTAAAGAAATCCACGTTTGAAAAATATCCTTTAAAAAATCCACGTTTGAAAAATAACCTTTAAAAAATCCACATTTGGAAAATACTCTTTAAAAATCCACGTTTGAAAAATATTCTTTAAAAATCCATGAAAAATAACCTTTAAAAAATCCTCCTTTGAAAAATAACCTTTAAAAAATCCACATTTGAAAAATATTCTTTAAAAATCCACGTTCGGAAAATATTCTTTAAAAATCCACGTGAGGTAGTTAGCTAAACATCCTCTAACCTAGCCTACTATTCCTTTCGAAAGAAATTTTGCAAAATTATAGATTTTAGATTTAATGATTTGATTCTTTTATTTTCTCAATATATATTTCTGCTTAACTTTCCTTTTTTTTGTTTTTTTTTTTTTTTTCTTTACACATTTTCCATAACTCAATTTTCGTTTTTTTTTTTTTTTGCTTACCAATCTATTGGCTAGTGTTTCGGCTTTTTTTTGAAATTTTCGAAAACAATTAATTGTGATTTTTTAGGTGATCATTTGTTTATTGAGTTGCTGTTGTTTAAATGGTGTATTTCTTTTTTCAAAATCATGATGAGAAAAAAATCAAAGAAAAAAAGTTAAAAAAATTAAATTTATTTAAATAAAAAAATAAGATAACGATTATGTTGTTAGATGTGTGAAGTCTTGCAACATAAGCTAATCGTAAATCAAAATAAAAAGTCTATATTCAAAGTAAGGACTGGTTTGCAGAAGAAATTGGTGTTTGTATAAATCTATTAATTTTTATAATCATTTTTGTTCGTTTATTTTTTTTTTTATAAATTTTCTGTTTTTGTTTTTTTTTTTTTCTTTAAATATAAAATGGAGATGTTTTTCTTTTTGTTGTTTTACTAGCTTAATACTTAGATTACTATAACTAACATTTAAGTATATATATGTATGTATATCTGTCTGTCGATCTCTGTTGTTTTCTTTTTTTTAATGATTTAACATCTCCCAAATTTAATTTTTTGTATCCATGCCTTAAGGCCAAGTTAGAAAAGTCATAACTATAAATAAGTTTGGGTGAAGCTTGGTGTGTAAATAAACAAATCGGATTTGGGGGCAAAACGTTGATTGTTTAAATGGTTGGTTGGTTTGTTTTTTTGCAATTTTTTTTATTTTTGTTTTATTTTTTTTTTGTCGTTTTATTGTAGTTCTTCAACATTTTATATTGAATTTTGTTGCTTTCTTGATGTGTGTGTGTGGGACTGCAGCTTATCTTGATGATTTATAGTAGTGAGTAGTTGTTGTAGTCTAGAAGGGGGTTTTGAGGGTGGCATTGTTGTTGCTGTGATATTTTTTTCTTTTGTTTTACTTTTAAAGGAAATAGTCCGCCTGAGGCTTTTTCGATGGTATACCTCGACTTTCTTGGGGCGCTGCTTCGAATATAACAAAATCACGATGCAGGTACTCGTTTAGTTCCAATATAGCTGCCACATTGCCACACCTGAAAGAGGGAGAGAAAAGAGAAGAAAAATTAAGAAATTATATAAAACATCAATTATGAATTTTGCCAATGTAAAAAAAGCTGTAAGTTCTACCGGGCCGAACTTTGAACGCCCTCCACCATTTGGGACAAATTTGGCAATTTTCAAAAATATAAGAAAATCCGTTTCTGTTAAAATCTTAAAAATGTCGAACGCTGCCGTTATGTTATTAATATTCAGATTCGAAACTTGAAAAAAATCTGTGAAAAATGTAGCTAAAATCATCAAAATGCCGGATATCGGGAGGTACCTTTATATAAGGGCTATACGAAGACATGGACCAGCACAGAAAATTTTCTGTCATAGGCTGTAATATCCATTGCGAAATTCAAATACCAAATTCGATACAATTCCGTTGAATAATGTCGCTAAAATCATCAAAATACCGAATATTGGCAGGTACTATTATATGGGGGCTATACCAAAACGTGGACCTGCTTGGACAATTTTCTGTCATAGGCTATAGTATCCATTACTAACTTCAAATACCAAACTTGAAACAATTCCTTGAAAAATATTCTTAAAAAAATCCACGTTGCTTCTCACTTTGTCCTTGAAAAATATTCTGAAAAAACCCTGAAAAAATTCAAGAAATCATCCTCTTATTTTTCTTGAAAAATATTCTTTAAAAATCCACGTTTGAAAAATATTCTTTAAAAATCCACGTTCGAAAAATATTCTTTAAAAATCCACGTTTGAAAAATATTCTTTAAAAAACCACGTTTGAAAGATATTCTTTAAAAATCCACGTTTAAAAAATTTTGTTTAAAAATCCACGTTTGAAAAATATTCTTTAAAAAATCCACGTTTGAAAAATATTCTTTAAAAAATCCACGTTTGAAAAATATTCTTTAAAAAATCCACGTTTGAAAAATATTCTTTAAAAAATCCACGTTTGAAAAATATTCTTTAAAAAATCCACGTTTGAAAAATATTCTTTAAAAAATCCACGTTTGAAAAATATTCTTTAAAAAATCCACGTTTGAAAAATATTCTTTAAAAAATCCACGTTTGAAAAATATTCTTTAAAAAATCCACGTTTGAAATATATTCTTTAAAAATCCACGTTTGAAAAATATTCTTTAAAAATCCACGTTTGAAAAATATTTTTTAAAAATCCTCGTTTAGAAAATATTCTTTAAAAATCCACGTTTGAAAAATATTCTTTAAAAATTTTCTTTTAAGAAATATTCTTAAAAAATCCACGTTTGAAAAATATTCTTTAAAAATCCTCGTTTAAAAAATATTCTTTAAAAATCCACGTTTGAAAGACATTTTTTAAAAAACCTCGTTTAAAAAATATTCCTTAAAAATCCACGTTTGAAAGACTTTCTTAAAAAATCCTCGTTTAAAAAATATTCTTTAAAAATCCTCATTTGAAAAATATTCTTCAAAAATCCTTGTTTAAAAAATATTCTTTAAAAATTATCTTTTAAGGAATATTCTTAAAAAATCCACGTTTGAAAAATATTCTTTAAAAATCCACATTCGAAAAATATTCTTTAAAAATCCACGTTTGAAGAATATTCTTTAAAAATCAATGTTTGAAAATACCAAAATACCGAATATCGGGAGGTGCCGTTGTATGGGGGCGGGACGTGGACCTGCACAGACAAATTTCAGCCTTAGGCTGTAGTATCCAAAACGGACTTGAAATACCAAATTCGAAACAATTCCGGTGAATAATGTAGCATAAATCACCAAAATACCGAAAATAGGGAAGTACCATTATATGGGGACTGATCTGAGGACCTATTTTCTACTTCTTAATTTATCGCAGATAGCGACTTCAAATATTGTTTCTTTTAAATGTGACCCTCTGAAACTAGAAGTGTGTAGTGTCCCTCGACTAGCACACTCAACTGCATTCTTATCTACGCAGTCCATGTGGTATTTTTAACATTCCTCACTGGGAAGGTGGAGTAAAATCTATGTCGTTAAAGTTATGTGGTAACAATTGCAGACTGATCCTAGAAGAGACCCTAAACGAGTTTTTTCTAATATGTTACAACAGATCCTCACTGAACCCAGGAGAGCTCCTAGTATTCCTAATAGCATCCAAAAATTCCGAACTATTATTCTCCCTGCAAATAAAATTTAATTAAAATTCTCTTACATATTCCATTCAACTCACCTGTAACAGTAATTCGGTGCTGACCACACCGTAAGTACCGCCTCGCCAAAATGCCATTTGAAACCCTCCATAACCAATTGATGGGCACGACAGATCATATCGATGTCATTGGTGCGCGTAAATTGCATTACAACATCGGCGCCAAACAGATAACCCGCTCCACGGGGTGATACACCCCAACCAGTTTGATCCTCGGGATCTGACCACAGTAAATCACACATGGGACCATCATGCGGCACTTCCTGCTTACGATCTATGGTACGAATTTGATCTAAATACTGTATGGATGGTGATAGGCCACCGTGGACACAAAATATTTTGCCATCAATGATGGCCGAGAGCGAGAGATAATCAAAGATTTCCGTACAATAACGCCACACTGCGGTCGAGCCATATTTGCGCAGACATTCATCGTAGAAACCATAGACTTGGGTAATTTGACGAGATTCATGATTACCACGTATCAGTGTTATGCGATCGGGATAGCGTACCTTGAGCGCCAAAAGCAGTAGAAAGGTTTCCACACTGTAGTAGCCACGATCGACAAAATCGCCCATAAAGAGATAATTCTTTTCGGGAACATCACCGCCAACTTTGAACAGCTCCTTGAGGTCATAGAACTGACCGTGGATGTCGCCGCAAACGGTAACCGGTGAATCGACACGTTGGACATTACCCTCCTCTACGAGGATTTCACGGGCCTTGGCACACAAGGCTTTGACTTCGTTTTCTTTGATTATTTCACAGCGTTTTAGCTGTTCAATTTGGCGATCCAAATCACTGTAATCAGTCATGGTATCAGTCTGTCAGGCTGCGGTGCAGTGCAGTGCGGCGCGGCGTGTGTGTGTATGTTGCAAATATTATGGGAAGCGAGGCAAGCAAGTGTGCTGAGTGTGTGTGTGTGTGCGGAGGTCAAAGTGGGTTTTCCAAAATCGCCAGGTGTTCAAACACAAATTAATTCCAAAATATAATTCAATTGAAGTTCCCTTTGACTGCTACTCCAGACCAAATGATGACGATCTAAGGCCTTAAGCTGCAAAGAGAAGACAAAACAAACAATGATGAAACATGTTTGCAAATATAATAATAATACTTATTAAAGTAAACAAATAAACCTTAAAAACAACCTCTGCTGCGTTTCCAACCTCTGCAGGTTACCACTTTGGAGCCATGTTTTTCCCCGTGGCCTCTATACGGTTTCCAAGTTTCTCCACCAAAAGTGTAGCAGCAAAAAATTATTTGCACACTAGCCCGCTCATGCACACTGACTGGATGGCTGGCACTCTCACCTTCAAGCCATACAAAAAAAACCACCGATGGCAGAAAAAAATGCTCACCTTTTCACCAAACACTCTTTCCCGTTTTTTGCGATGCTGCTGCCCTGTTTCCTTTCCAGTTTTCTTCTTCCTCGCCACACCAAAACTCTTTACTTGTTGTTTCCTTCAATCGTCGGCTTCGTCGTAATGTTTTTCATATTTTGGCGTAATTAATTATCTATTTTATTGCTTTCCTTTTCGCCAAAATGAAGATTAACACCAAAAATTCACAGCTCCACTCGTAATTGACGAAAGAAAACAACAAAAGAATGAAATTCGTGACGCTTGCTGAAATTTATCGATGACAATCATGGAGAGGTAATCGTTTGTTATCGCTCTCATGTTTTTCCTCCCTCTCACTCGCTCTCTCACTCTATGCAAACACATGCAAAAACAAATCAACGTTGTTTTGTGGTTAGCGGTTATCGGTAGAGTTGTGTAACAACAAGGTTAATGAGTACTCATCAACCAGTGTTGTCAATGTAGCGGGTATTTTAAAGGAAAAAAACGTTAGAAATAGCATTTTCTGCAAAGAAATGGGGAATTTTTGTATTCAAATTAAGAGTTATTTATAATTTTAAATTTAATATTATAATTTTATAAATTTATAATTTTAAATTTATCGTGGGAATGATCACAAAAATAATAAGAGATATTTATAATTTTAAATTTAATATTTAAATTTTATAAATTTATAATTTTTAATTTAACGTGGGAATGATCACAAAAATAATAAGAGGAGATATTTATAATTTTAAATTTAAAATTATAATTTTATAAATATATAATTTTAAATTTAACGTGGAAATCATCACAATAATTAATGTCATCAAGTTCTCAATATAACAACAAATGGGAGTTGTATTTTTTATTTTTACAAAAAATATGCCACTACAACGAATTTTTTTTATTATTTTTGGAAATATTTATACAATTTTTTTTTTTTTTGAAAATAATAAAAGTTTGTCAATATAAAGAAGGGCTGCTATTAACCATTAATATCTTTTATTACATGCTCTGTTCCAGGACCTGCAACAAAGAATTTTTTATAATTTTTAGAAATATTTAAAAAAATTTGAAAATAATAAAAGTGTCTCAATATAAAAAAGGGCTGCTGTTAACCATTAATATCTTTTATTAAATGCTCTGTTCCAGGACCTGCAAGTATCTACTATTTCTGATTTTTTTCGTTACCATAAAAGGAAAATCGGTTATCGTTGTAAAAATTTTTACTTTGCTGGAGTTTTGGAACAGACCAATGCTAACATAGAACAAGTTTCAATTAAATTTAAAAATATGGAAATTTTATAAAAGAAATACATTTTGAGCGAAAAAAAATTATAAAATAAATATATTTTTTTAGAAGAAAAATCCAAAAATCCGTTATAAAAATGTTTACTTTGCTGGAGTTTTGGAACAGACCAATGCTAACATAGAACAAGTTTCAATTAAATTTAAAAATATGGAAATTTTATAAAAGAAATAAATTTTGAGCGAAAAAAATTATAAAAAATATTGTTTAAAAAAAAAAAAAAAAAATTAAGACAGACGAATTGAGGCTCAATTCTTGTTCTATGAAAATATGAAATAGAAATTTTTATAAAGGGAAGAAATGTTAAATGCCATTTTTTTAAAGAAAATATTTGTCATTTCATGTTAAATAAGCCAGAGTATGTATCACTAAAGCAGGTCATATATGTCCACAATTTGATACAGCCCCATATAACTGTAGCTCTAGGTTTAATTTGCCTTGGCTGTTTCAAATTTGCTATAAATTGGCATATGACCTTCCCTTTATGTGGGAAGCATTTTTGCAAAGAACCATCCATATAGATCTACGTTTAGGTATAGTACCCATATAAGTGTACCTCCCTATACTCGGTATTTTGTTGATTTCAGCTACTTTTTTTCAGCGGAACTATTTCAAATTTTGGGATTTAAAGTTCGCAATGGATACTAAGTTTTATGACAAAATATTGCCTTTGTAGATCAACGTTTTCACATAGCCATCATCAATATACCGAATATAGGGAGGACCCATTATAGTCCTCCCTATATTCGGTATATTGATGATTTTAACTGCACTTTTCGGCGGATTTGTTTCAAATTTGAAGTTTGCAATGGGTACCAATGGCATATTGCCTACGTAGAGCCACATCTTCAAAGGCATCGTCGTCTTCCCCATATCCGCCGAAAATTTTGGGGTATTCTGTGCGTTGCGCCTTTCTTCCTTTTTCTTCGCGTTCTTCAAAATGAGGACTTGCCAGCGGTAAAAATTTCCCAAAATTTCAGTCCAAGCATGGTGTCTGTATCATGAAACCAGATCTTGTGTTAAAAAAAACCGGTTGCTTATTTCGTATTTTATGAGACTTATAATTATTAAACTTTTGACCCGGTGTGAGGGAGGTACAAGAACGGGTGGTCCGATATATTCCTTCTTCACATCAGATCTTGTGTTAGTAAAAATATTAGGATGTGCGAAATCTGCGGAGAATCGGTTGCTTATTTCGTATTTTATGAAAGTTATAATTATTCCAAATTTTGACCCATTGGGGGAGATACCAGAAGAAATTATCCGACATATTCCATCTTCACACCAGATCTTGTGTTGCTAAAAATGTTGAGATGTGGGAAATTTGATGAGAATCGGATGCTGATTTTGCATTTTAGGAGAGCCACAATTATTCAAAAATTTAACCCATTGGGGGGGAGGTACCAGAACGAGTGTTTCGATACATTCCATCTTCACACCAGATCTTGTGTTAGTGAAACTATTGCGATGTATGAAATTTGAAGAGAATCTGATGAGTCCATTTGTGTTTTATGAGCTCCATTATTGTTAAAAAATTTTGACCCGACGTGGGGGAGGTACCAGAACGAGTAATACGATATATTCCATCATCACACCAGATCTTGTATTTATAAAAATATTGCGATGTCTGAAATTTGAGGAGAATCGGATGCTTATTTCGTATTTTATGAGCTCCATGATTATTCAAAATTTTGACCCTCTGTGGGGGAGGTACCAGAAGGCTTAGACCGATACATTCCATCTTCACACCAGATCTTGTGTTAGTAGAAATATTGGAATGTGCGAAATTTGAAGAGAATCTGAAGCTCAATTCGCGTTTTATGAGCTCTATTATCATTCAAAATTTTGACACGCTGTAGGGGAGGTACAATAAGGAGTGGAGCGATGCATTTCATCTCCACACCAGGTCTTGTGTTAGTAAAAATATTTGGATGTGGGAAATATGAACAGAACCGGTTTCTTATTTCGCATTTTATAAGAGTCTTATTTATTCAAAATTTTGAACCGTTGTGGGAGAGGCACCAGAAGGAGTGGACCGATACATTCCATCTTCACACCAGATCTTGTGTTGGTAGAAATATTGAGATGTGTGAAATTTGCGGAGAATCGGATGCTAATTTCGTATTTTATGAGAGTAATTATTGTTCAAGAATTTAACCCATTGTGGGGGAGATACCATAAGAAGTTGTTCGATATATCCGATCTTTACACCAGATCTTGTAATGATAAAAATATTGAGATGTGCGAAATTTGAAAGGAATCGGACTCTTATTTCACATTTTAAAACAGTTATAATTATTCGAAATTTTGAACTTTTGTGGGGCAGTTACATGATGGAGCGGGTCGATATTGTCCATATTCGCGCTATACTTAGCAGTGATACAAATATTACGATTTGCAAAGTTTGCACAAAATTGGATAATTTTTCTTGATCTCTGAGGTAAAATATTTTCTTCGAAGAATTTGAGATTTTGAGGGGGAGATACTTAATGGAGTGGAACGATATTGTCCATTTTCGCACCTGACCTAGCATCGATAAAAATATTACGATTTGCAAAGTTTCCACAAAATGAGATGATATTTTCCTGATCCCTGAGGTAAATAATTTTCTTTAAAAATGTTGAGCTTTTGTGGGGGAGATACTTAATGGCGTGAACCGATATTGTCCATTTCTGCACCTGACCTAGCACTGATAAAAATATTACGTTTTGCAAAGTTGGAGTAAAATTGGATGATTTTTTTTTATCTCTGAGTTAATATATTTTCTTCGAAAAATTTGAGCTTTTGTGGGGGAGATACTTAATATGACCTAGCACTGATAAAAATATTACGATTTGCAAAGATGGCACAAAATTGGACGATCTTTTCTTGTTCTATTAGCCAAATTATTTTCTTAAAAATTTTTTGACATTTTGTGAGGAAGGTATCGGAAGGAGTGATGCTAATATTAGGATTTGGAAAATTGGAGCAGAATCGGATTATCCTTTCTTTTCCTGTTCAGTATTTTTTTTTTAAATTTTGGTGTTTTATTGGGGAGGTACCAAAAGGAGTGGACCGATATTGCCCATCTCCGAATTCGATCTATGTTTGACCATAATATTACGATTTACCAAGTTTCGACCAAATCGGATGCTTCCTTCGAGAGATATCATGCGCATCAGCCAGTCAAACGGACGGACGAAAATCCCTAGATCGACTCCAAATGTTCTGGAAATAGCGGCCTGATACTGTCAATTTTTGCACTAATCTTAGCATTGCTGCAAAGTTGGAGAAAAATCGGATTATCCTTTCTCTCCCAGTGCACTAAAATATATTTTTTTAATTTCGATTTTTTTTGTCGATACTTTTCATTTTCACACTATGCCTAGCACCGAGACAAATATTACGATTTGCAAAGATGGCACAAAATTGGATGTTCTTTTTCTGTGCTTGGATTATAGAACTTAACTTATTATTTTCTTTGACATTTTGGGGGGTAGGTACCAGAAGGAGTGGACCGATATGGGCCATCTCTGTTTTTGATTTAAGTTTGACAATAATATTACGATGTACCAAGTTTGGGCCAATGCCCTGAAACGGATTTGGATATTTCGATGAGGCACGTTTTGGCAGTATCATATGATAAATAAAATCAATTGGTAATTTTTTATATCATAATTTATCATATCATAATTTTTTTATCGTATCATATGATAAATTAAATCAATTAGTAGCTTTAATTTCATCGGACCATGGTTAAAATGCCATAAAAATCGCTTCACCAACCATACTTAAAAAAACGCCAAAATAACCATACAACAGCGCCACATTGGCAACACTGCAATATAGAATTCTCTCTCTCTCCCTCGCTCAGAATTTTATTCACATTGCTCTCTGACTGATTTACACAGCTTCTGTTTTGGATACAATTTCCATTTTATAATATTTTGAAATGGTGACGTCATAGATTATGAGTGTACGCGCCACCCCAAAGTGGCAGTCACACACAACAACAACAA